GGGGGGGGGGGGGGGGGGGGGGCCTCCCTCCCTGGTACATATATTCATAAGTACAGGAACTCCATTGATCGTCCCGTGGCAGACGTCTGGGTACTGCGCTGAACTATGGTTACCCCAAATGCCCACGTTCTTCACCTGGCTTAATTGTACGCCTGCTTTCAATGCGATTTGCCCTGCAAGAACAGGACTCGGATTTTCCTTGTCGTGGTCCTCCTCTGGTTCAAGTTCTAGTTGACATTCATTATACCAATCGGCGTGGTGGACATGATTATTATAGTACCTATCATAATCATAGTATCTTTATCTACTGTAGTCCGTAACCGTAAATGCTTATGCTATCTCTTACTAGTCCGTACTAAATGCTGAAATATGCTATATCTCTTACTCGGTAGTTATGGCCGAGTCCCGTGTGTAAATACTATACCTCTCGCTCGGTTATGATCGAGTCTCGTGAGTGCGGAAAAGTTTTTCTTCGGGATGCTTGGCGCATACTTGGAAACAACGAGGCAATTAGTATTAGCAGGGTTTCCGACCACCAGAATCTTGATATGTTTGCTCGCACTCTTCTCGATCGCGGTTCCCATGGTCTTGAAAACGCCTGCTTTCAATGCGATCTGACTTGGAGGAATGTCCGCAATAACTCTTCCATGCGAGGATCGATTTTTTTCGTATTGCTGCTATTAGAGAGGAGGTTTTTAGTCCTTTTAGTACTAGCACTACTACTTAGAGGCACCAACAGCCCGACTTTTAGAACATCTTTCAGTTCTTTTCAAGTAGAAACTGGCTAAAAGATGCTGTGGGGAATGGGTTGACGGTACCCTTAAACTACTGCTCGTTCTTGCCGCCTTCATGTGGTCCTTGACACTATTCGTAGCTGAAGACGAAGATGCACCGAGCAAGCCACCGATTGAATTCGAAGCTGTGCTGCTGCTCAAAAGATGTCCTGCAGTTGATGAACTACGACCAGCGAAATCACCACCATAATTATCTGAGCACTGTCTTACCCTGCTTGGAGATGGACTGTCTGTTCCAGCCTCTGCTCCACCAAACCTCCTCGGAAATTGTTGCATCCTCGCTTCAAGCTCGCGTTCAAGAACTATCAACTCTGGATCGCCAGATGCTAAAAGCATCCTCTCTCTCTCGTTGGTCGCATCTCCAACTACATCGTCTTCGAGCTTATTCGCGGAAGGACCGTTTTGCTCCGAGGACAAGCCGTCATCACGTCCTGCAAGAGACGAAACAGCAGAAGAAACTCGTGTTTCTCCACCGCCCGTGTTTCTCTTCTCAGCAGACGTGTAGTTGCCATCTTGCATGATCGAACCCACTTCTACTTCATCTTCTCCGGCAGAGCCTCTTGTCGCCTGAGACGTCGTACGCCTTTCTTCTTTCTCACTCCGCAGCTCCGCAAGTCGCGCAGCTTCGACAGACAGTGCAGATGCGTGTTAATCCTGGATCTCGGAAAGCACATCCCGTGTCTCACGAGCCAAAAGGGAAGAAGCGGACCATAATTTTTTCTTCCCTGCGGCAGCTCTAGTCGAGCTAGCAGAACCAGAAGTTGTGTTACCACTAGACGAGAACGAAGACGACATCTTTAGAAGATCTCAAGCCAAAGTAAGGATATCTGGAACAAGATCTCAATCAATGTATGCATCGTGAGCAATTTTTTTCCTGAAAATCTATTGTACTCAGTGATGCTATGACCCTTTTGCAGGCACGTCATTGTTCTTCTTCTTGTTGGTAAGAACTTTCATAATTTTTTCTGATACACAATTTGTCACATTTTGGAGGCCTCTGCTTCTTCTTCTTCTCCTTCTCTCTCGGGTGCAAATATTGTTCTTCTTGTAGTTGTTTTCCATAGTTCTCTTGAACACCGACGGGGCCGTGCAAGTTTTCTTGTATCCATTTCAATGGACGAAGCAAGAGGACCATCGCGCTCGTCTTTTCGTTTGAAAAATAGCAGAACAGAGATACACTGGAAAAGTTGTAAAATCTTCGAACGTGTTCGTCACTGGTCTTACAAGTGAGATCGCCATGGACTTGGACACTGTGTTTCACAATCTAATATCGAAAAATTGAACCGGTATCTTCGGATCATGGGAGAGTCTTCGGAATACCATATTCATCAACTTCCACCTTCTGAAGATTGACAGAGATCATGCTGTAATCTGTGAAGACAGGTGACGACGACGAGGAATCGTTATCCGACTGAGCAGCTTGACACTGTACTTTGAGGTCAACAAAAAATGCAGAGCTCTTTCCATGAAATGCTGTCGCGAGCATTTCCACCACAGCGTCATCGAAGGCACCATACGAGATTCCGCCATAAATATCTGCACTGACCGCTGAAATTCTGACGCGGCGAGAAAGCAAACTACTCCCGTCACCTTCCTGAATCTGTTTCTCAAACTCTTGCTTGGCTACCCCAAATTTCGAGCTTGTTGTACCGTATCTGTTGTCGACGTATTCATAGCGGCACAATTTCTCCAAGACCGGCTGATCTTTGAGAAGCTCGAGTTGTTCCGTGAAAGACCACACTGCTTGTTCGCTGTCTTGCGCTGCCTTTGAGCTTCTACTTGGCACTTCGATCTTGATTTGGTAGTTCCGTACAACACTACGATCCGATTCGATCCAAACATTTACCCTTTCCGGTAAGCCGTCGTGTGTCCACCGATCCAAAAACGCAGGCGGCTGAGACGCATGCCCTTCCGGAACGATGTTGACTTCCACTGGTCGAGAACTAGAAGAAGAATCGAGGTGGTCGCCCAGCTGATTTTTCTGTCCTCGTGGTGATGAAGGCGGTGAAACTAGCGATTGTGCTTCTTGTGCCAACTGTCGCAGCCTCGTCTCTATGGGACTCTCGTCACTTGGATGTACTTGATCTTGAGGTATCCGTATCCCGTCATCTCCTCGCCGGCCCGCCGCGCTTGTGCCTGCCGCAGCCGCAGCCACCTTGTTCGGCATCAACTGCCGTAGTTGTTGCTGTAGCGCTTTTACTGACGAGTCCAATTCGTCTACTTTTCTATCCAGCCTTTGCGAATCCGCCTGTGCGGCCGTGATAGTCTTAACGCTATTGTTCAATATTCATCTTTCCACCTCATCCCTGAAAATTGTAAAACTAAAATGTTAATACAAAAACAAAATGAACAATAAACAACCAAATTCCAAAACGCTCAAAAAAAAACACGCCGCCACACACACACGACGAAAGCAGATGGTTTAGAGGTCGATGGTTTAGATCCCGACGGTTTAGGGCCCTATAGTTTAGATCCCGATGGATGGTTTAGATCCCGACGGCTTAGACCCCGACGGCTTAGATCCCGATGGTATAGATCCCGATGGTTTAGATCCCGACGGCTTCGACCCCGATGGTTTAGATCCCGACGGTTTAGATTCCGATGGTTTAGATCCCGACGGTTTAGATCCCGCCGGCTTAGATCCCGCCGGCTTAGATCCCGATGGTTTAGATGTTAGATCCCGACGGTTTAGATCCGGATGGTTTAGACCCCGATGGTTTAGATCCCGACGGCTTAGATGTAGATCCCGATGGTTTAGATCCCGATGGTTTAGGTTCCGACGGTTTAGATCCCGACGGGTTAGGTCCCGACGGTTTTTTAGATCCCGATGGCTTAGATCCCGACGGCTTAGACCCCGCAAGCTTAGATCCCGACGGCTTAGATCCCGACGGTTTAGATCCCGACGGTTTAGGTCCCGCCGGTTTAGATCCCGACGGTTTAGACCCCGATGGTTTAGGTCCCGATGTTTTAGGTCCCGATGGTTTAGATCCCGACGGTTTAGATCCCGACGGTGTAGATCCCGACGGCTTAGATCCCGACGGCTTAGGTCCCGACGGTTTAGACCCCGATGGTTTAGATCCCGATGGTTTAGATCCCGAACCCGATGGTTTAGACCCCGATGGTTTAGGCCCCGATGGCTTAGATCCCGGCCATGGTTTAGAATAGACCCCGATGGTTTAGGCCCCGATGGTTTAGACCCCGATGGTTTAGATCCCGACGGTTTAGATCCCGATGGGTTAGATCCCAAAGGCTTAGATCCCGATGACTTAGATCCCGACGGTTTAGATCCCGAGCCCGAGGATGGTTTAGGTCCCGACAGTTTAGACCCCGGCGGTTTAGATCCCGACGGCTTAGATCCCGATGGTTTAGGTCCCGCCGGTTTAGGTCCCGACGGTTTAGACCCCGATGGTTTAGGTCCCGATGGTTTAGGTCCCGATGGTTTAGATCCCGACGGTTTAGATCCCGGCGGCCTAGATCCCGACGGCTTAGGCCCCGACGGTTTAGATCCCGATGGCTTAGATCCCGACGGCTTCGACCCCGATGGTTTAGACCCCGACGGTTTAGACCCCGATGGCTTAGATCCCGTTCATGGTTTAGAATACATAGACCCCGACGGTCTAGGCCCCGATGGTTTAGATCCCGATGGTTTCGATCCCGATGGGCTAGATCCAAAAGGCTTCGACCCCGATGGCTTAGATCCCGATGGTTTAGATCCCGACGGTTTAGGTCCCGACGGTTTAGACCCCGACGGTTTAGATCCCGACGGTTTAGACCCCGACGGCCTGGATCCCGATGGTTTAGATCCCGACGGTTTAGATCCCGACGGTTTAGACCCCGATGGTTTAGATCCCGACGGCCTGGGCCCCGATGGTTTAGGCACCGCGCCCGGCCGGGTGTCTAATTTCCCTCAGAATGGTTTAAAGTCAAAAGCTTAACACTTTGGCCAAATGTAAAAACAAACGCCGAAAAAAAGGGAGGCGGTGCGCGCGGTGGGTTTCTAATTTCGCTCCAAGCAAATGACTTAAAATCAAAAACTTAGCACTTTGGCCAATGTAAATGGCTAATCTAGTACTAGTTGCTGTCAACTAATCGAACAGCGATACTTTGATCGCAGCTCATCGATCGTCAAGGACGTCGATGTTGGTACTTTATGGGTAAAAACGAAACCTAAAGGCTCACTACAATCAACAAGGTGATACAAAAATCGCTCGAAGTTGTTTAGAACGTCTTTAGTTATGGATGGCGCACCATCATCAGTTTCAGTTTTTGTGTCTCTCGTCGTGTTCGGTCTCGTTCCGTTCCAACAAAAACTTACACAACTTTATCTTCCTTCTTTTACTTTCTCTTACTTTCTTCTTACTTTCTTCTTCCTTCTTTACTTTCACTTTCTTCAAAGAAAACGACAAAAGATATACAGACTTTACGCACCGAAAATTCAGCCTACCGCTGATCTTATACTTCTTTCTTGACTACTTTCTCTCAGTCTGAAAACGTAGCTGAAAAGTCACTTACAGCCCTGCCTCCTAGTCAAGAAAGAAAACTACAAACGTTAGCACAACAAAACTACTTGTATAACCCTGCCTCCTAGTTTTCTGTAGTGGGATGACAACACTACACAAGCAACTTTCGATCTGTCAAAAATGCTTCAAAATATGTTAAACTAAAAGCACTCCCGTAAGTGTGTTTTTCATGTTGGAACTTCTTTAGACAAGACATGTAACTTAATGGCTACTGTGATGCAACGCACAGAAACAGTAGTAAAACTCGTTGTTAAGCAAAAGGTAAACCCGGCTGGTCGCTGGCCGGGGCAGCGTGTCTTGTCTCACTCCCTACTTACTGTTGTATAGTGCTGAAGTATCCTTTACTTCAGCACTTTTTCTCCCTACTTCTGACTGAGTAAGCTGTTAGTCGAACTCTTAGAACTTGAAAATTGTACAGAATATGTTAACGAAAGGTGTCAAAGTCCTGCCGGGACGGTAGTCGAAAGCACAAATATCACTGATGTCAGCGCAATCTAAGTAATATTCTGCGTGACGCAAGTCGTAGTAGAAATGTAACTTTTTACTTGTAACTCGCGCGAAGCGTACTGTTGTGGATACTGTTAAACAAGTTAAAGCACCCTTAAGTGGAAGTCGTAGATGTTTTTATTTTACAAGTGAGAGAAACTAACTTTCTGTTACTTGTACTGGAGAAGCAAACTTAGTTGAATGTTGACAAATATTGAGGATTTGAAAGACATTCGAAGTGAATCCGTAGTAAGTGGCATATGATTTTGAACGTGGACAATTTAGCAGAAAAAATTTTTCAACTCCTTCCCCTCATTGTACACCCCAACTTGTCTCGTAGCCGACCCAAGGTCTTTCCAAAGTTGTTTTGTGCGTGACAAGGTTGGACAAATATCATATGCTTGAAAAGAAGTCGAATTATGCGTATTCGGAATGGTAATCCTTCAAAGGGATCACCCGCGAAACGTTGACCTTAAACGATTTCTTCGGAGCCACGTTGTCCATCGACTCGACTAAAATCGCCTGTCCATACGTTTCCACAACACGGAACGGACCGCGCGCCAAAGGCTGCAGACGATGAGAAATACCAGAGATGTGCTCGAAAGCTGTATTAGCCACGTAAACTAGGTCAACAACTCGAATGCCGTGATCTTTTACCTGATCTACATACGCCTCGATGAGTTCTTCTGCTCGCTCGCGAATCATATCGTGAGTCTCTGACAACCATTCGAGTCGATCGATCCAGTACTTTTCGAAATACTCGCTACTGGAACCGGTTGAAAAATGAAATGTAGAAGAAGGCATCCACCCATGTACAACTTGAAAAGGTGAAAGTCCAAAACGACCTGTATGCGTGTGGCATCAAAAAGCCCACTGAAAAGGCATAACGTACTGAACCCAATCAGCGCGACCTCCTGTATGAAGTAGAAAACTGCGAAGGTACTCGATAAGAAGTCGATGAGTTCTTTCGATGAGTGACTGAGATGTGGGGTTGTATGCACTACCTCGAACGTGACGAAAATGAAACATCTCGCTCATCTTGATGATAATCTGCGCAATGAAATGCGAACCACGATCGCTGCGTAGCTCCCGAAACGGTCCATAGGAACAGACCACACCCTCGAAGAGAAATTTCGCCACTGCCTCCGAAGTTGCTTCCTTCACGCAACGTAGAAAAATCCAACCACTAAAACGGCAGATACAAGTGAGGATGTAGACGAAATCCATGCAAGGTGTTAGAGGTCCAACGAAGTCGATCTCATAAGAGTCAAAAGGATGCGTAAGCATACTAGATCTCGGATATGCTCTGACGATCGCGCGTCGCTTACTCTGTGCGCAAATCTTGCATGCTCTGCAGAAAGCACGAACTTGACGTCGCATCCCTTCCCACAAAAAATGTCGTCTGATCCTTGCTAGTGTAGTATCGCGACCTTGATGTCCTGCGTCGAGTGGTGAGCAGTGGAAGTATTGAAGGATGCTTGTGCGATACTTCTTCGGTGCGAATACTCTGTAGGAAAACGCGAACTCGTCAAAGGTCTGCTTGCGCAAGATTTTCTTTTCTGTGTAGTTTGCTAGTGGTAGCCAGGCGAAGTCGTTGAGTAGTCCACGCTTGCCACGTTGTTCGACGTAGTCACGTTGCGCATCTAGAAACTCTTGCATATTGATGTCGATAGCCTCTAGATCGATGTGGATCACTGCCTTACCAGGTGTAAATCCCTGCTGCATCTCTTGAAATACGTCACCAGCTGGAGGACATGCAAGATCTGCGTCGTTGTCTGTAGCGTTGCTGCTGCCTCCATGCTCTGCTTGATGAAGTTCACTAGATGCAATCTCGTCACTTAGTTTCTGTTCGTCCGATGCTGATTGTTGTACAACAAGTGGCGAAGCAGAAGATGAGTCTTGTTGCTGCTCTTCTACTGATGCAGCATCTTGTAAAGCAGAGACATCCTCTGGCTCATTAACAACAGGCGCTACCGCGTCTAATTCGCCATCGAAAGACTGTAAATCATCGCCACAGAAAGGCTCGTCCTGATACCTAGCATTCAGCTTGAAGTTCTTCGATTTGACTTCAGCAGAACTACCACGAAGTGCATACTGCATATACAATACTTCAGTGCTCTGCGGTGTCCGAGCACTTTTTGCGACAGCCAGAGTTCTTTTCTCTTCTGTCCATCACGACACGGGAAGGCCTCCTTCGCCTTGATGACGTATCCAAAACCTCGATCGTCGGTCCAGTGCCGTACTGCGACCTCCCCTGGTATGATGGTCGACGGAAGACGAAGCTGCGCTGCTTTGCGTTTCGCGATCGTGACACAAACTCGAGCGCGTTCTGCTGCCTCCGTAAATGTTGTCGAATTTGTCAGAGGAAAATTGTTAGGAAAGTTCGGCAGCTTGTTCACGATGTCGCTGAGGCAAGCTTGTTGCGCTGATGTTGCTGCTAATGATAAAGAAGCTACGACTAGTCTGTTGGGCTTAGACGAAGGTTTTGCCTTCGCCTTTGGCACCTTAACAGGTACTACCGGCTTAGTTGTAGCGCGCACTCGTTCCTTGCGAGCACGTTCTACATGTGCCTCTCGAAAACGATCTAACGTCGGTAGAAATTCATCATCTAACTCGATCCCGTACAAGCGAGCAACTAACTCGCGAACTGGCATACCGTCAGCGATAGCACGCTCAAACTCGCACTTTGCTGCATCGGCTCCAGGAAAATGACGAGACAAAAAGTCGGGCCCTGGAAGGTCCGCTCCTGGTGTCAACGAGAGTTCGAATGTGTCTCCGCACTCCTGGAAGATGTCTAAAGCCCATCTATTCGTCTTCTTCAAAACTCGCTTACTAGATAGATCTCGTTGAAGGCGATCCTTTGTCCTTTCTTTGATGTTGTCGCTGTTGCGATGATCATGATGAGTGATGACATGTTGTCCACGAGTGGTGTCCTTGCAGCCTAACATAGCGAAACGCACTGCGTCGAATTCTTTTTCTGTGATGTTCCAAAAGATCTCATAACCCTTGAAAACTTTGTAGTCGAGGTCGATAATGATTGGTTTCTGATGTCCCTCAGGATCCGTCTGGATCAACCAATACGTATACGCGGCGCAAACGTCAGAAGAGTCGCGTAAGATGTGCCACTTCCAATTGTTACGAGGCGGAGAAAGCTCGATCTCTGTGATGTTCTTGCGCAACATGTCTATTGCCTTCCTGCCGTTGTCGTCTTTGAGAAAATCGCTTTCAAACGAAACGCCTTTCTTGCTGTAGCGATTCAGCGGAAGGATGATCTCTCCGAAATATGGATAAAACTTGCTTAACCATTGCCCCATACATCTGAAGCCCACAACGTCATCAATAGACTTTGGCTCTGGAAGTTGTTGCGTCGTCAGCTTGTGCTTCTTGCTGGCTGATACTCCACGACGAACGGCGTGACCTAGAAGAGATGCTTCCTCGCTGATGAAATTTGTCTTGTCCCAATTCAACAGCCATCCACGTTGGGCGAGCATCCTCAAAATGAGCACACATCTGCGAGCGTGCTCCTTGATCACTGCAGGAGTAATCTCACCGTTTTCAGCTGGTGCACCCGCATAGAGGTCACCCAAAAAGTTCTTCACGATGTCGAAAAGTTCTGCGTGAGTGATGTCTCCCTGTACTGCAGATTGAAAGAAACTAGGAAAATCAGAACCACCAAAGCCCATCGTCTGCGGCTCAAACTTGCGCTTGTTCCAGACGAAGGCGCATAGTTCTTTTGCGAGTGGTGATAGTTCGATCTGATTGTATCCTTGCACTAAATCGCCGGGAAAATGCCAAGCGTTTGGTTTTGCAAATTCCAAGAAGTCTGCAATTGTAGGCTGTGGAAAACGGTGTGGAGCTGTGATGTCATTCACGCCGGTGCGGTTGTAGATGAAACGACCTAGTTCTTGTTTACCATCTTGATCGATGACAAAAGTAGGACTGTGGTAACGAGTGGGATGATTTATTTCTTTTGCTAATCCATCCTCGATCATCCACCTGACGTGTGCATCGCCACGAATCGCATCGAACTCCGTTGGCGTGTAGTTGATCATCTTCGCGAAGCGATGTCGATGTTTGCGCTCCAGCTCTGGATCTACTTGCGGGCCGTAGACGATGCCCTTAACTGTTTTGAAACGAATTCCTTTTCTCCAGATGATCTCAGAGTGGTTGGCAATTTCTTGTACTAAGGCGCCAAGTGCCTCCTTGCATTTATGCTCCACCCAAGCGCGCTTTTTCTTCGCTGCTACTCTAAGCTCATCCTTGTACTCCTTAGAAGATGGATCTAGGCGCTTGTACTCGGATCGCTCCTTGTCCTTCTTTGCGATTGCTGCTTGTAGTTCATCAAACTTACCGGCCCACTTGGCTTTGCGAGTGGCTTTCGCAGTAGACGCAGCAATGTAAACATGGAATGGATTCGACCCGATCTGTGTCCTGTTCGTTGGAGAAGCAAAGGTGGCAGCCACAACACAATCGTCGAAGTAGTCGCGAGGAGTGTAAATTTCTCGCGAAATGTTGTCATTGTCGTTGATGTAGTAGCACGCTCCTACATGTTGTGGACCTGACCCGAAATCGTAGTGCGTTGGCGTGAACTGTTGAAACTCGAGTGTCGGAAAACCGACCAAGCACGGAAAGGCCATCGCCAAGAGCAAGAAAACGAAAAGCACAGGGTACAGCTTGTTGCTGATGGCGTCGATACGATGTGCGCGAATAACTGCATAGTCAGAAGAGATCTCGCCCCTGTCGTCATCCTTAAACGACATGCACTCGATCGGAGGACCAGAAAACTCGCGTAGGATTTCTTTCTTTGCTCCTTCGTCTTTTTTCAAACTGTTGAAGCACCTGCGGCCTAAGAGCGTCTTTCCTGAACAAGAGTCGCCTTTGACCTTGAGAAAGGTGTCTCCGATCTTCAACCAAGATTCGAGATGATCCCTACCACTAACTATGTTGATGGGAATCTTTTCTGGTTCCTTGTTTTTGGTCTCCTCTACTAGCTGATCTGCAGCGATCTGCGTCTCCTGTTCTTGTTTCTCGTCATGTTTAGAAGATGTGACAACTAATTGCTGTGCCGAATAGTTGTTGGCCGAAGGTGAGAACTCTGATACTGCAAAAGCTTGCTGTTGTTGGAATGCCACGAAGTCGAGCCTGTTGTTGCTAACGTAGTGATCGTAGAACTCCTGCGCTTTTTCCTCGTCTGAAATAGTGGAAGTAGACGTAGAAGCTGTAGACGAGGAAACATCACCACTAGAAGAAGAGTCCTCTTTCGTTCTAATCGCGAAGAGGTCTGTCTTGACAAGGCCTGCGAATACTCCGCGTTGGATGTCTTCTGCTGATGGCTCCAAATCCGTACAAGCTGGCGCGTCGTCTCTCTCCTCTGGATAACCATCCAAAGCGGCAACGTGTGACGTTGAAGCTCCTTTCTCTTTCCGCAACTGCTCGTTGTGTTGTTTGGCGCGATGAGTTCTTGATCTACACTCTACACCCTTGCATTTGAAGTTGCACTTGTCGCCCTGCTTGAACAACTTGACTCGCTCGTCCTTATCAAGCAGCTTCGAAGGGCAACCTTTGATGCCAGGATGTTGCCCACCACAAAACCCACATTGTGGAACTTTCTTGGGATCGATAGTATCCCCATTATTTCCTTTGCCTTTTCCTTTGTCCTTCGTGCTACGACTACCGCCACCACTTTTGTCGTCTCCTTTGCCCTTGCCCTTATTTCTCTTATCTCCTTTACCTTTGCTAACATCTGATTTCGGGCGAGCCTCCCAAACGCCTGCTCTTGATGTTCCACCTGATGGCTGTGCTGCAATCCATCTTCGTACGATGTTGATGACAGAGATGGGCCTGCCACCACCAATCGGGCCAAGATGTGATCGCATAGGATCTTGCGGCGCTTGACTTCCAAGGATCTGAAGCACTTTGTCAGAGGGCACTTCTACGCAATTCGGGACTGCGTCTTCTTGTTGTAGTTCTACGAATGACTTGACTGCTGGTGGTAGTTTTTCGATGAAGTCTGGCACTTCTCTGAGCGACTGGACAGCTACTCCTGCTTCCATCAGTCGCGCTCTTGCTATGCGATAACGAGTGCAGAATTTGTCGAAGGCCTTGAGGTTGGCTACGTCAGCATCAGTTGCTCGTAATGCGTTGTACTCGCGAGTTGACTCTGTCTGCTTCTTCGCCACTCGAGTACCCACGCGTTCTGGCAAAAACTCATCGAGCAAAAATGTCTGAAGCTCGTCCCACTGGTCGCTATCCAGTTTCGTGTCGCTGTAGTAGACATCTTCGGTGACAATGCGAACGAAGTCGGCCATGTGCGATTGAGCGCTACTATTCTCAACCGCGCAAGATTCTAGAGTTCGAATGAAGTCCCAAGAATTTTTTAGACCTTGCTGCGAGCAGGCCGTCTTGAATTTCTTGAGCTCATGCTCGAAAGTGCTGGGGTTGTCGAGCTTGATCTTACCCTGGCACTCCTTCTTGACATTTGCGATCGCCTTTTGCGGATTTGCACCACTAGAGTCATACGTCGACGAGCTATTTTGTGCGTTCTCGATAACTTCGCGCATCGTCTCATTAGAGTTTTCAACTACTGCTGTGAGAACTTCTTGCAAGTCCTCCCTGTCGATGCCCTCGCGGGCTGGCGTGTTCGATAAATTGATTACCGCCTGCGAAATTTGTTGTAGTAGTTGGTGCTGTACTGATGATCCTTTTTCACCACTAGCCGAAGAGTCAGACGACGTATCCCGACTCCGTCTCGACTTCCTCTTGCTGCTCTTCCTACCACGAGCTGGCTCGGTTGGAGTCTCTGGACTCGGCGAAACGTAGTAGTCTGTGATCCCTGCCACTGTATCCAGCAGCGCTGAAAATGTAGTTCCCGAAGCAGAGAAGAAGTTTGGAGTTGTTGGATCACGCACTACAAATTTCTCATGGAGAGCGACCAGTCTCATGTAGATGAGCTCTCCTTTTTCGTTTACCATTTCTAGGTCCGACAGTCGTTCTGCAGCGCTTTCCTGCATCGACATGGGCCACAACTTTTGATCTATTGTTGGGCTCCATCCTTCTGCTGGATTTACCGCGACGATCTCCAGTAGTGCTACATGAGAGCGGTTACCATCGCAACGCCTGAGAAAGATGTGGAAACCACTTCTGATGTTGTTATCTGCTATGACACAAGTGCAACCCGATATAAGTGGACGCTTCGAAATTGCAGATGATCTAGGTGGTGGTGAGGGAGGTGGAGGAGGTGACGAAGACTTCACTGAAATCCGTCCTCCCTGGCCATCCTCTGGAGAGCCCATGTTCATTCTGGGTGTTGTCTCCAGCACTGGTCTACTAGAAGATGACGACGATGATGGGTCGAACCCGCCATCGCCTGACGGCGAGCTCATCTTTCTCCACCACTAGAACTAGTTGCTGTTGTTTGTCTCCCTTGATCGTTTCGAAAGTGATCAAGTGAGTTGAAATCGGAAGCGAAAAGCAATCGATCCTCGAACTGCGAAACAGTGCCCCCAGTCCAAATCCAATCGAAAACGTAGGCCGAAATTAGAACGGTAAAAATCCCTCATCCACGGCCGCCGCATTTACCTGTCTGGAATCGTTCATGAGAGTATCCGTGAGAGAAAATGGAAACGCTCAACTTCGCAACCAATATTGAAACTTTTTGACCGCGGTCAACCAGAGTGGATTTGGTATATTTATACCGTTGGGGAACTGAGTCCCCGCTTCGACTAACGTTTGGTCTCGACCGGACTTTGATCTTGAAATTTGTAAACGCCGAAAGTGTGGACGTGAAGATTCTGAAAATCCTGCGCGATTAAGTCCGTGGAAAATGGTCCAGAAAATGCAAATTTTGAAAATTTGCGATGAGGCCCCCTTATATTTTGGCAGCGAGATATCGGCGTCGGTGCCGAAAACCCGTAAAATCGTCCCCAAACGACGAAGTTCAGAGACGAAACCCGCTCGGCGCTTGAAACTCGGAAACGTGTCGCCCCCTCGACTTGAAACTCGTGTCCAAGCGTAAACCGAAACCAACGTTGTGTAAGTACCGAGACCCCTTGAAAATCGAGGTGAATCGTCAAACCGGAAACCAAAATCCACGCACCCGAAAACGTAGTCCACTTGAACTCGCAAACGTACGTCAGAAACGCAATCCAACGCGCGCGAAAGCCCAGCTTGAAACTCGCAAGACCGTACGTCAACCCAAGATTCAACGTACTCAAAAAAAAACCCAAAATAAAAGCGCAACCCGAGGTAAAACGTAACTAACCCAAGGTAAAACGTAACCCAAGGTAAAACGTGACCCAAGGTAAAACGTAACCCAAGGTAAAACGTAACCCAAGGTAAAACGTAACCCAAGGTAAAACGTAACCCGAGGTAAAACGTGCCCCAAAGTAAAGCGTAAACCAAGGTAAAACGTAACCCAAGATAACACGTAACCCAAGGTAAAACCGAAATCCAAGGTATATCGGGCCCAAGGTCTAACGTACTGGACTCGTATGAAGGTGTCGCGTGCCCCACTTGAAACGCGTATACTTTATCCGTGGCCAAAGCGAGGCCAACCGCACATGAAAGCCCACTGGAATTTTGTAAAGTCCATCGGCAAGAAAAATCGCATCCGAAGGAATATTCGTTCCGGTTCCCTCCACTGCCGCCGCAAATAACCTAGCTTGTTTGGTCCATGAGAGTACCCGCTGCAGCAGGTGGAAGATATCGAAAATGTGTATTTTTACCAATGAGAAAAACAACAAGAGTTGTGAATTTGGTATATTAATACCGGTAGGGGAGTCAGTCCCCGCGTCGAGAGTGCTTCTGTCGATCTCTCGTAAAGAGAGGGAGCCGAAATCTTGAAACTCGAGACTCGAAGTTGTCTCTTACGAATTTGCTGAATAAGCCGACGAATTTTGGCTCATCTCGTCGACTTCTTGATAGTGAGTAATCGGTTGGTTGTGCGGTTGCAGGTTTATCGGTCCTCTTTCCGCAACGAAGTCTAGGTGTGCAGCTCGGTGATCGTGCACCCTTGCTACTTCCGGTGGTAGCAGTTGTTCCCGTAACAACTGCACCTCGGTGCGGAGGAACCGAAGTTCCGTCTGGATGTCCTCCGCCCGACGGTTCTCAGCGTAGATGATTTGGCGTAATGTTTGTTCTACTGATCGCCAAAATCTTCGCAGTTCCTCAATGATAGTTTCGCTATTCTCCTTGACTTGTCTCAGAATTTTAAACATCTGGCGAAGGAGAGGAAGAAGAAGTAGTTTCTTCGAGACGAAGTAGAAGTAGGCGGCTTGCCGGATTCTGCACGAGACGACGAGTTGCAGAAAACCAGGTGCCCGAATGAAAAGGATCGACGACTATCCTCCAGAACGTTCTTGATCAAAAACTTGAGCGTTAGTTTGCCGGCTTGCCCATGTTTTTACTCCTCTTTCATTGGTGGTTTGAGGGTCTTTAAATGTGTGATGAATCTATCACCTCTCGTCGGGTTGTGGCCCCCGCTCGAGAGTTGCCTACTCTACTGTTAAGCCGACTTATTCAAAACTTTACGAAATTACCCAAAAAGTAACTCAATTCGTGATTTGAACAGCCCCCAGCTGTAAATGGCTAATCTAGTTGTTGTCAACTAATCGAACAGCGATACTTTGATCGCAACTCATCGATCGCCAAGGACGTCGATGTTGGTACTTTATGGGTAAAAACGAAACCTAAAGGCTCATTACAATCAACAAGGTGATACACAAATCGTTCGAAGTTGTTTAGAACGTCTTTAGTTATGGATGGCGCACCATCATCAGTTTCAGTCTTTGTGTCTCTCGTCGTGTTCGGTCTCGTTCCGTTCCAACAAAAACTCACGCAACTTTATCTTCCTTCTTTTACTTTCTCTTACTTTCTTCTTACTTTCTTCTTCCTTCTTTACTTTCACTTTCTTCAAAGAAAACAACAAAAGATATACAGACTTTATGCACCGAAAATTCAGCCTACCGCTGATCTTATACTTCTTTCTTGACTACTTTCTCTCAGTCTGAAAACGTAGTTGAAAAGTCACTTACAGCCAAAGAAAATTTAAAAACAAACGCCGAAAAAAAGGGAAGCCGTGCGCGCGATGGGTTTCTAATTTCGCCCAAATTGATTAAAGACAAAAAGTCGGCACTTTGGCTAAAATCTGTAGACCTTCCCGCCCAGATAGAGAAGCCCCCGCGCTGGATCAGAAAGAGAGGGACGCACCGCGCCCGGGTCGGTCAGGTTTCTAATTTCACTCGAATGGCCTAAAGTCAAAAGTTTAGCACTTTGGCCAAAATTGAAAGACAAGCGCCGAAAGAAAGGGAGGCCGCGCCTTGCCCTCTCCATCGGTCTCGACTTTTCTCGGACATTAATAGAAGAAGGCGGACGTAGTGCTTCGCCCACTATGCTGAGAACCGAAATCAACAAGCCCGAGGCCCCCCCCACGACGCTGCCATGTCGGAGAAGCAACATACTCAAAGAGTAGGGGACCCACGCCCAAAACCCGGGCAAGGGAGCACATTAATAGAAGAAGAAGTAGAGGAGGGCAGCAGCCTCGGCTACTTTTCTCCGACATTAATAGAAGAAGAGGAGGAGGGCAGCAGCCTCAGCTACTTTTCTCGGACATTAATAGAAGAAGACCAGGGCAACCACCACCCAGCCCACCGGCCTCGGCTTTTCTCCGACATTAATAGAAGAACAAGAGGGAGCCCGCCGCCTTGTCCATCGGTCTCGGCTTTTCTCCGACATTAATAGAGAGAGAGAGAGAGGAACCTCCCCGATCTGGGGAGGGCGGTCGCCTGGCCGCGACCTGCTGGCGCTTCGGGTGCAGAGGGTTCCCCCCTGGACACCACGCAGCCAGCCCCTGACCTTGAGGCCTTGCCCAGGTGGCGCCCCTTGTGTTTATGCATCACCCAGCCCAGCCGCCCATCAGATGAGCTGACGCCGTCCAGCTGTGGCCAGGGTTGTGAGCCACACGATGGACCGCGTGGGCGCGGTGCCGTCAGCTGCTCAGAGGGCTCCCCTTGGGTCTCATCTCCCCGCACTGTCTGGCCCAGCGCGGTCCCCGTTTGTCTCTCCCCTGGGTCAGACATTAATAGAAGAAAAAGAGGGCAGCAGCCTCGGGCACTTTTCTCGGACACTAATAGAAGAAGACCAAGGCAGCCACCACCCAGCCAATCAGCCTCGGCTTTTCTCGGACTTTAACAGAAGACGAGCGGAAGAGGGCGCCCGCCGTCCCGTCCATCAGCCTCGGCACTAATAGAAGAAGAGGAGAACAGCCGCCGCCCTGGAGTCAGCCCATCAGCCTCGGCTTTTCTCGGACATTAATAGAAGCAGAGGGGGACAGCAGTCCCGGCCAATTTTCTCGGACACTAATAGAAAGAAAGAGGGCAGCAGCCTCGGCTACTTTTCTCGGAGGGACATTAATAGAAAGAGGGGAGGGCGCCCGCCGTCCCGTCCATCAGTGTCGGCTTTTCTCTGACATTAATAGAAGAACAAGAAGGCAGCAGCCTCGGCCACTTTTCTCCGACATTAATAGACGAAGAAGACCAGGGCAGCCACCACCCAGCCCATCAGCCTCGGCTTTTCTCAGACTTTAACGGAAGAAGAGGAGGGCGCCCGCCGTCCCGTCCATCAGCCTCGGCTTTCCCCAGCAGGGTGCTACTATTCTCAGCGCAGCTTGCTTCTTTGCTTGTCTTGCTCGTTCCTTCTTGATCGTTTGCTTTGGCAGACCACTACCAGAGCAGGACTGCGCTGCTGATTTTAGGACTGTGCCCGATGCTGATTCTCATCCATTGCAGGTCTTGCCCAGCTATAGGCAGCCGCGCTAATGGACTCCGTCGCACTTGCCTGCGACCGCGAAAGCAGAGGGGGCAGCCTCGCCATGACGTTGGTGCGGAAGCGTTGCCGCTCTTTTGCAGCTCTTCTGCTGTAGACGTTCTGCTTTTTCTGCAGGCGTTTCACCATCTTCCCCCCCTCATCTTCAGCATAAAGAGCATCCCGAGCTTCCACTGCTCTGCAGCGCCTGCAGTAAGTTTCTCTTCTCCGCAGCAGAAACATCGCCCCAAGAGTTAGCAGCAGCCATGTCACCTGCGCACCCTTTTCGTCTTTCGTCTTTACTCCTTTCGCGCCTAAGCTAAGCCCCCTCTTGTTTGAGATCAATGGCGCGAGGAGCTTGCTGGCGCTCCTTCTCCTCGACCTGTGGCGCAACATCCGAAGCGTCCTCAATCTTGCTCCACGCATCACGCAGAACACGCCGAATATGATGACGATGACGATGCAAGCCCACCGACCGGGTGGGGCGGGCTGCCATCTCATCCCTGCAATTGTTTTTCCTAAGAGGGTTGCCCTCTTTAAGATAAGAGGCCGCCCCCACTCGACCCCGCAGAGAGAGGCCAGACCCGCGCCCGCCACCTCTCCGGGGGACCCCAAGGAGGCGAGGGGAGCCCGTTTCGCCTGCTCTTACCCTCCTGCACTGCCTCCCCCTTCATCGGGGCGCCACCCCTTAAGCGGCCCCTTCCTTTCGGCCTTTTTTTTTTGCTGTTCTGTTCCCTTCGTGGTCTTCTTGGCCTCATTTCGTCCGGCGGTCCCTTTGCCAGGTCTCCGCCCTTTCTCTTCTTTTTCTTCACTTCTGCGCTGGCTCCTTTTCTCTCTTTCGGCCTTGTTCTTTGTTCTCGTTGCTGCTTCCTCTTCACTGCTGTGGGGCTGCTCTGCGCCCCCCTTTTCTTGAGGGCGTTGCCCTTCTCCTCCTCTTGGTCTCCTGGCTGCTTCTCCTCCTTCTTCCCTTTTCTGAGGTCTATCAGCGGCTCCTCCGCTGGCCGCTTTTCTCCTCCAGCCTTTTCCGCCCCTGGGGGCATCTTTGGCCTCTTCCTTTCCCTGAGTCCCTCCAGCGGTTTGCCCCCGGGTCTCTTTTTTCCTCCCCTTCTCTTCTCCTCTGCCTCTTCTCTCTTTTGGGTTTTGCGTCGGGCCTCTCTTTTTGCCCTATCGTCCTGCCCCCTCCTCTTTCCTCTGTCTTTTTCTCTGGGCCTTGGCTTTTTCCTCCTGCTCCTTCCCCGCAGGGTCCTCCTTTTTTTTTTCTCCTCTACTTCCCTGCAGTGGGTGGCCCAGATTTCTCCTCCCTCTATTCTTTTACGCCCTTCGCACCATTTTCCCGGTTCCTCCGCCGGCCAGCCAAGCGCCTTCTCTTTGTGTGGGCATGTCTTTACCTTTGTCACCGGGTCCCAGCGCATTCGCTTGGCCCCGTGGTATGCCTCCCACCTTTTCTCGTCCTTTCTTACATTTTTGGCCTGTTCTAGCCACTTTTGGCGCGCCTGGCCTGTGCCGTGCATCACCTGGCACATGCCGCGCCGGCGAGTGTCCGACTGTGCCCCCTGGCATTTCTTCACCCCCCAGGGGCACTCTCGCCGGTTGTCTTGGTCGATGGTTTCCCCTGTCTGCTCATAGTGCTCCCAGTCTTCCACAAGTTTGAGGGGCTCCCCTGCCTCTTGCTTGTCTTGGATGTGTGTCCCGTTTCCTACGTGCGGCCACTTTTTTCCTTTCAGCGATATGCCCGCCACCTCTTTCACCTCCTCGGGGCTGAGTCCTGCCCCCTCCAGGTATATTTCCTGGAAATGCACGAGCCTTTGCAGGTCCCCGGCGTCCATCATGTCCCCGCGGTCCTCCTTCCATTCTCGCGCCCTTTCGCTTGCAGCCTGGTAGCCACAGCTTGCGCGTTCTCCCTCCTTCCAGTTTTTTGCTGTCCTTACCCAGTGCGCCACTAAGCCCCTTGGGCCTTTAAAGCCTTCCTGCCCGCAGTGCTTGCACGTCGTCCAGCCCCTGCCCTCTCGTTCTCCTCTTCTGGTGTTGTGCAGAACTCTCGCGGCCGCGTTCCATAGTTCCCTCCAGTGGATCGACTGCGGGCAGCGTGTCACGAGGTTCCACACGTCTGCCATTCCCAACCGCTCCACCCAGGTCTGTACGCGTGGCGTCTCTTCCAGCTCCTCAGCGTCCCGCGTCACTTCCATTATCTCGCTCCGTTTCTCCATGTTGTGGAACCCCTCCCCCGGTCCATTCCCTGCTATGGAACACGCCGAATAAATTGAGAAGGGGCCGATGAGCTTCCCACCTTTACGCTGGTGGCTAGTGTGTTGCGAGCTCTTTTGGCAGTTGCTGCGCCTTTCTACATGTTTTCGCTTCCACGCTCGGTCTTGTCCTAGAATACGCCGTCCGATGGCCATGAAGTGGCGGGCCCGCTTATTCCGATCCAAGTCCTGGATGTATTCCTGAAGGACCTCGATCGATTGCACCCCAATCGACTGCCCCAACCTCCATTGGCATTGCTTCGCGTCAGCCGCAAATACATCCACCCAACTAGCGCAGCCGCAGAGAGCGTTGGCGCGAACCTGCCCCCTGAGAATGCGTCTCCTCATGCCATTGATTAATCAGACCCCACACGGCAATAGTTCCCGATAGGCGGAACCAGTTGGCCTCCAAGCTCAAACAAAATACAAGACCCAAGAGAGAAGCCTGCGAAAGTTTGCAAATATCCTACGAAAAATGACGGCAATCAGAGTTTCTACTTTCCAGTAAGAACCTTACTACTATCCCCAGCAGGGTCTTCTCATGGTTCACGAACTGCCACACAGAAGGCACGTCTATGGCGCTTTAGTGGGGACTTGGATAATTCAAGCCAAGTTCTAACTTCTATGCCAGAAGCTTCGCGAAATGTGACAACACAGGCCGCCGCGTGTTGATGTGCTGCGCGTCCCTTGCCACTTGTGCCCAATCATGCAAGTAGTTCAAGACGCCTTTGGAATCTTGCTCAAAACGCCCCCCCCAAGTCTGCGCAATCCGGAATATTCCGCAAGCCCCAGCCTGTCCATTTGTCACAAGGCTCAGAAACCTTCGCAACAATCCACGCCAACACAATGAAGGCCAAGCGCTCGCCGAGTGCGTCTGAAGGTTTTCAGGAATGTGCGAGGCCTGGTCTACTTTATAAAGCAAAAGACGAACTCACCCCACGACGTCAATCGCTTGCAATAGAGTACACATTTCTACAATGAAGACCCAGATCGAAGCCCCCTAATTTCATAGAAAACCAATAGCAGAACCTTAAGCAGCAAATCAATGGACATCGATAAGACTACACCGATTAAAGTCCCGGCATTCCTTGCATAGAGTCGCAAGACTTTCCCGAAGTCTACCTTCGCAACCAACTCGAACACGCATGGCCACGCCACCACGCAAGCCAAGCAACCGTAGACGAATGTCAGCCACCTAGTGCGGACTGGCTTCCTCAAACCGCGAAACCGCTGCCGAATGGGCAACCGCTCCTCCCCAACTAGATCCGCGCGAATCTTGAAGCCGGTCGCTGTGCCCTCAATGTGATGTCTGCCATCTCCTCCAAAACCTCCGCACCATATCCCACGCCCTCCAAAAAACTACTAAGAAAGGCTGCCCGCATGATCGAAGGACTTTGGAGCGTTTCGGCTATTCCAGGCAGGTTCCCCGTTGGCTCCTGCTGGTGTTTTCGCTCCCTGAAGTTCTACTACGCTCCGGATGCGTAGACGCGCTCGGCCTTTCTGCTTCTTGTTCTCAACTCCACAGAAGAACAGTAGGCAGCCAGCTGTGGGCTGTGTCACTAATGGAGCCTGATGCACGTGACAACGACATCCCACCAGCACAATCCGCATAGGGCGACGCTTCCGCAGCTGCTCGATGCTCCACATGATGCACCCAGCGGCACCCGAATCAACACAGAAGAACCTTACGGCAGGCACATCAAGAATCTCGCCAGCCTCTACTTTCTCCTGCGTTTTCAGCTCGTGCGTGGCCTTTTCTGATCTGCTGCTTCGAGATTCAGACTCAGCTCAGACTCGTCAAACACCCATCGCGATTGCACTTGCAAGCCATCAAATCAGAAGGAGCCAGAAGATCGTAGACGGTCCTGGGATCTACTCGAGGGCCAAGGCTGGCAGTAGACTTCTGCGCCAATGCTAAGCTACTTCACCTGCTTCCACACTGCGCCCAGGCCTTCCAGCTCCCTCCACGCTCATGCAGCCACGAGTTGTAGCATCTGCTTCAAATCGAAACAGCACGCCGCTGACCTTCTTCTGCTGTATCCACTTCCATACCCACGCCGCAGCTACTTCTTGCCCTTGTTGCTCATCAAGTGGCATTGCTCTTGCGTATCCTTCGCCTGAAATTCTGCCTCTGGCAGCGTGAAGTAGTCAAAGGCGCAAGACGCTTCCACTTTCGCACACGTAGAACACTAACGCGAAGAAGAAGACCCCACCGGCGCGGCAGCCTGCTCCAGAATCTCGCCGCGCTTGCTCTTCTTCTCAACCCCCGCCCGTTCGGGTATCGCTGCTGCCGGTCGCTTCGTGTCGTCGGCTTATAGTTCCTCCTTCGTTCGTTTCCCCGCGCGCACATCTTCTAAATGCCCCATTTTTGGAAATCTGACTCGAGGCCACTACTATAGCCCTTAGCCTCTTCCCATCCTGATGCGCCTAAAAATGTGATCCAGTGCGGCTTTTCTATATACGGGGCGAGTGCAACGATATCGATATAGACACAAAATGCGAAACGAATCCAAAACATAGGAGAAGAGGACGACGCGGAAGAACCACCCGCAGCCGCTCACCAAGCAACTGCAACTACTGGCAACGAGGCCTGTAGTCCTTAGATAGTCAAAAGTCTTATCTTGCACAAGGTGAAGAGAATCCTTTTTACAAGGAAGACAGAGACGCGCGCAGCGTGATGACATTTCTGCTTTGGTTGTTGTTGGTGTGTTCAAGTCCCTTGAGCCAAAATGGCTACGACGAGGATAAAAGCGATCCGGCGGCTGTTAGTTTGTATAAACGAAGCTCGGCCAAAAGGATCCCTTGGGGGCCCTGCCTAAACCTTCGACTTTTCTGCCTAAATTTTAACTTTAGGCAGAAAAGTCCAAACTTTAGGCAGAAAAGTCCAAGATTTAAGGTGGCTCCGGGGCGCAGAAGTGAGCCGCTAGGCAGTGGCCTGGTGAACTTTTAGGCAGCCGACTCCGCCGCAGCGGCACACCGCTAGAGCTGCCTAAACAAAGGCAAGATCTGCCTAAAGTATTGAATTGTTTACATTACTGCAGACGCAGCCGCTACTCCATTCTGTACTAGATGATCAAGTCAAGGATGAACAATCAAGCACCCACTAACCCTTCCTAGCCCTAGTTTGATTGGAGAGAAAGGAAACCAGCACAAGGCCACGACGAACAACCAAACAAACAAGAAACAACACGAACGAGGCGCCAACGACTGACCTACAGCCCATGCGGTCCGTAACGTGAATTGTTAGAAACGGTGCCCGCTGTCAACGAGTCCAGGCATGAAGACTACTACACATGGGCGCATGCTCACTAGTAGACTTCTGAAACGAAGAAAGTTAAAATTTAGCCAGAAAACTCGAAGGCTTTTTTAGGCAGACCGCGAAGGGATCCTTTTGGCACAGTCTTCGCTCGTATTAGTTTGGTCCGCGTTTCTCCCTTTTGGCGAATCCTGCTTAAGAACGTGATCGACTGTAAGACTACGACCCGCTCTAACTCTATCCCTCGGCGCTGCCCTGTCCACCTCGCTCCCAAGGGGGTAGCCACTACAGCGCCGGAGCCTCTTGGGGTCCTCGGCTGGAATTTTGTCAGAATTGGCCCGATTTTTGTTTCTGGCGCAGCCTATTCTACAGCTGAGAGTGAGAGCTTGCGCCGCAGCTTCTGACAAGCTCGCTGCGCTTAGTGGGCTACAAACATGGCCCCACAGACTTCGAAAGGCTTCAGTCAAGAACTCAGCTAGTGCAGCACGCACAAGACAACCCGCGGCCTCCCTCTTTTTAATTACAGCGCAGTGCCCTGGGTCAGCAACCGACCCGCGGCCGCAGCAGCTAAATAAAGCGAGAGACACACGCCCGAAGAGTCACCACAGTGCGCCGCGCTGCTTGCGAGTACGTGACGCGGCTGGTGCGGTAGTTTTCTTTCCTACTAGCTTGACGAAATAAGCCGGCGCAGATGGTCTAACAAACTAAGCTAGACCGAATGCAGCTAGCTCGCCCCAGCTTAGGCCACTACTCCGCCACAGAGATAACCCAGCAAGCGAAGCCGACCACGATCGCATAAGCCTGGCTGACCCTTCAGACGACGGCGGTGGCGGTTTCGCTTACTATCTATAGCGCAACACATTCAGGCCGCTTTAGGCTCTAGCCGACCGTAAGATAGAGCCACGATAAGCAAGCACGCAAGGGGCACGAAGTGGCCCCCATTGACAGTCCAGAGGGTAAGGGCCTCGACGTGCATCGACTGGGGAGGGGCGTTGTCCATGTAAGTATGGAATGCCATGAACATCCACCAAGAGAGGCCCAAAGCATTCAGCCACAGAAATGATCAAGATCGCTAGGCGAAAAAAGTAACACATGGGCGCCGTTCCGGCCTAACCTCTCGGCCACAGTCGGGGCGGGCGTCTGTGGCTTTCACCTCTAGCAACCTGACGCCGGAGCACTATCCAAACGCCCGACGGGTTTACCGTCACGCGGGTGCCCCTGGTTGCTCGCCTCTCCCGTTCGTTGTTTTCAGTCTCTCAGCCCCGCCAAGGACAAAGCACCGCCGGGAAGATCTGTCTCGAAGAATCCGATAAGCCTGGATGTGTATAGCCCCAAAGCCAACGACCAACACGCAAAGGCCTCCAAGGTTTTCAGATCGCAGGGGCAGCGCGCCCATGCTCATAGCTGTAGCCCTGTCCGCATCGTCTTGCCAGTTCTGACCAGTTCCAAGCGAATGGGGCCGAGCGATCGCCATAGCGTATCCACGTGACAGCGTCCCAAATGGTCTGACGCGTCTCCACCCACCAAGTTCAGCCGGATCCAGATGGGTACCAACGTAGACGATCGCACGAAATTGATGACGACTGCAACAGAGTTCCCACATGGGCGCAGCAAGCTCACCCCACCACGATACCCCAAGAAGCAACAGAGCAGAGGCCCCCGCGCAGCCCCAAAACGAGCACCCACAAGGACCAAACCAGCCAGCGGCCATTTGCCTCAGGCTGTGGGCCCAGTTGCATCAGGCAAGAGCCTCGCCCAACGTTTCTCCGCGAGGAGCTTCAACTTGCCAAGACTTACCTTAGCAGCCTGTGCCCTTGTGGTCCAACATTCGCGGATGCAGTGAAAGACGAAGTTGCTACAGCCTTAATAATCATTTCGGCTACTTTTTTGATCTGCGCCTCAATGTCGCCCGCCGCAGCTTTGCTGGGTCGCTCTACTTCACCCGTTGACAGAACGACAAAACTCGCGGCCTTATGGGGATCTTCATCTTCTGGGATATCGGTGTCGGCTGCCTCACCACCGCCATTGATGTCAGGCGGTTCCCGGTCCCATGGAGTATCTATTATAGAATTGGAGGCTCAATGAATGATATTGATGGTAGGTATGAAAACAAAAGGATCTATTTTCACACTACTAATGCAACAAAGAAATGACTAAACATACGAGGACTTCTCAAAAATGGCTAATAAATACAACAGCCTTTTAAGTCAACATTGACTACTTCAACGACACTGCAAAGGGTTAGAACAATGATTGAAAATCCAAATATCATCAGAGAGGTTTGCACCCTGATCATCCCTGTGCTTCATCTGCCTCGCGGCAGCATAACAAAGACCGATGTGCAACGGGGTCAACGAAAATGCCGACGCTAGTCCTAGAGCTACTGTTCCACCCGATCGTAAAGCAGATGGGGCCACTCGCCACAGCAGTCCACCTCTACGCTCTCGGCGAGAATGTAGTGCACTGACATTTTGAGGCCACCGGAACAGAGAGGGGAACAGCAGCATTCCCTCGATTGCTACCGCTCCTTCGCTCAGGGTGTGTCTGCCTCTGCTCTGCAAAGAGATTATGTCATGTTTTTCTTGTCGTGTGAATAGTTAGATGACATCGAGGTCCATCTAAAGTAGATGAGGCAAAAGAAGACTACCTAACCTAGTAGATAATCTACGTAGAAGCATAAAACATTAATCAATGTATGATTTCATTTGATGAATGAAGCGATATCAAGGAAAGAGGTTCATCATGATCGTAAGAGCTATAGAAAACAACACTCTGATTACGTCGTCCTGACAAATGGGGTAGCATAACACATTTTTATTGAGACAACCGTAACCACGTCAACATCGATTAAAGGAGGCGCAAGGGACCGGGAAGAGGCGTCTTATACGTAGGGTGAGTGTCCGCTTTGGCTAGGGAGAGGGGCGTGTTTTGGGGATCCCTCTCAGTGACTTTCGCTTTGATGAATAATTTTTGGTTTTTGCATTTCTCCTCCCACGACAATTTTTGACCGTCTTTCAACTGTCCTTTTTCAACTCAACGCAAGCAAGCAAACCCATTTTCGCCTCAGTCTCAACTACAACGAAACACAGGAGGTGCCAGACCTAGTAAACCATGACTCCTCGTCCATTCTTTTGGTCTTTATTGAAACTGGCTGACAGACTTCGGAGGCAGTTCATTTTCTCCTATGCCTATATCTTGCGTGCTTTCATTGATTGTTTGCGTTCTCAAAATCTCGGTTCTTCAATATGGCGTGGCGTCAATCAATCAATTGGCGTCTGCGCGAAAGCGAATCATGGGAATACCACAAGTAAAATGCAAACATGTAAAAAGCTATGAGAAAAAGTCGCGTAAGAAAGTGCTTTTCATGCTATCTTTAACATTAGATGAATTATATCTAGTAGTAGACAGGCGCCCCGGGGTCGGATGGATCCAGACCGGGAGAAAGATCACCCAGTGCGGAGCATCGCATGCAGCAAAGTCGACCGCGCCGCCAGCGGTTGCCGCGCATGCGGGTGGCGGCTGTTCTAGCGTACACGTGGCGCAGGAGGGCGGGCGCCTCATCGTCGAGCCAAGCGCAGCAGGTGGCGCCCCGCCCCGCACTCGTCGACGCTTTGAGCAAACAAAGCAGGCGCGACGGTCTACACGGACGGGCCGGTCTCCGATTTTCGAGGTGGTGCGGCGGCTTTCTGGTACAGTAGCGCTGGATACTTCGGCCCCGCCTGGGACTGCGGGCCGCTGTGTGACTCCTTGCTTCGATGTGGAGGGATCGCCAATCGAGGCGACGTTGTGGGGAATAGGCGCCAAGGCTACCCCTGGCCAAAGGGTCGCCGTCATAACCGATAGCCAGCCCAACTTGCGCGCGATCCTAAACCCAGCGCTTAGGAACGACAACGACGCAGCCCTGTACTCGGCTCTTCGCGCTGCCCTGGCAGGACTCGGACCAGCGGGCAGACTAGAGCTGGGACTCACCCGCGGGCACTCAGGCGCCACCGGCAACGAGATCGCTGACCAACTAGCCGGAGTAGCAAGCCCTTCGGACTTCCCCGCAGAGAGAGACGGGACAAGCGATCGGCCACAGGCAATACCGCACCGAGGCAGCGAGGGCGCCTCGCGTGGCCAAGTTGCGCCAGATAAGCGGAGCAGCACGCACAAGGAGCAAGACGGCCAAGACCGTAACAGACACAGGCAGCTGCGGCAAGGACCTCCTGCGAGGCGTAACGTGCTCGCGGGAAGACGAGCGGCGACGCTATGCCTTCAGGCAGGCTGGGACGCTTGGCGAGCGGAGTCACCGGGGAGGACGTTGGCTGCCCGTTTTGCCCTGGCCGTGCGGCAAGCACGCAGCACCTACCAGAGTCCCCCGCGCTCCAGGCTCTAGTAGAGGCCCACGGGGTTCCAGCGAATGCTGGGGCGGCTGCGTCGAACCCGAAGCGGCTCATCCCATACCTCCGCGACTTCGCGAACAGCTTCGGCGGTGCGTCCTTGCGGGCGCAGCCGCCACGCCTCCAGTGGAGACAAGGGTAAACGAGTAGCGGCCGCTGTGGTAAACCCATCGCTGCCGGCTACGATAGGACGGGGGCCGAGATAGGTGGTGGCGAACAAAGAACGAGCAGGGAGGAGACAAGAAAGGAAACACGCGAAGACAAAAAGAACGAAGACGAAACGAGTACGCGAAGAACAGTGCACGCAGGCCGCAACAACGTCAACCAAACCCGGTCGCGCCTCACCGCCAGGCGCTACCTACGCGCAGTCGCCGCCGCCTGCAGCACACCGCGCCCGGCATGCCACAAAAGCCGCAGCTGGCGGGGACTGTGGCGACCGGACATACCATAGTCGACCACAATGACAACCATAGCACTACACACACAGAGCGCAAAGAAATCCGGCGGGATCGTACGCGTCGCCCGGAGCGCATCAAAACAAGCAACAAACAATGAATTATATCTTGAGCGAAAATAAAAATTATTGTCTATGTTGATGAATTTCAAGTTCAACTTCTGGTGAAGCAAGGAGAATACTAGTGCAGCGGGTACTAGTGTGTGGCTGTGTCCTCGGTTCTTCCTAGAAGTGATGACTATTGCGTAGCGAGTTCTTCTCCATCTTAGTGGCTGGTTCATCAAATTATTGCGTAGTTGTGACCAGAAGTTCGTTCCCCTGAGCATTTTCTACTCGAACACTCTGAGGGGAAAGGTGAAACTAGATGACGATAAGACAAAACTATGTCATAGAACGTTTCAGAATGTTTGGAAAAGGGGACCTTGCTTAATTTGGAAAATGAAGTGGGTTCTTTGGTGCTTCATCATTAATCATCAATAGGGAAGGAAGCTAGGAGCGAAAAAATGAAGAATCTCTTGTTTTCTTGAAAGGGTTGGCAGAGGTCTAAAAAAGTGACCGCGAATTGCAGTCACATTCATCGGAGATTCAGACTTCTCCTAGTATGAGTTGTACATGATGACATTTAGTTATAGTGCTACCTCTACAACTATTCGGAAGCACGCACCAGATCACCCAGCAATCTGAAATTGGTATAGCGTTTTTTTTGAATTTTTTACACTAGAACCTATGGCTTGACCTTGAACTTGATGTTAAAACTCTAAAGAACATGAAGAATAACATCTGACTTTTTCATCAACCTGTAGAAAACTTGAACTGGAACTCCTGATCTAGTAGTGTAACAGCAGTAGTAGATCGTCTACTTCATCTCAATCTATAACTACACTAAAACTAGAGCTATAAATTTAAATTCATTTTTAAGCGAACGATGTATCTACTTATATCAATCTCCCACACCACCCATTATCAGGAGGGAAGCAGCAGACTAGCAGCAGACCGTACTAAACGTATCTTAACCGACGAGCGAGAACGCCAAAGTGCGTTCTTCGATGAGCTCCTGTTCCGTTGCCTTCATCTTCTGCCTTGAGAAATCATCAAATGGCAATCCCTTGACAATCTCGTACTCGCCCTTTCCTTTGCACATCACCGGAAAGGAATAGATCAGACCCTTGTCGACGCCGTATCTGTGTTTGGTGGTCGTAGGTTTGATGAGGGACGAGTTGAATGCTATTACTCTAATATTCAGTTGTAGAAGTACGTAAGAAAGTAAGTGTGCTGGAGGGAACTTCTAGTTCTAGCAGAACAGTAGAACCACAACTACCCATCCGATCCGTCGGTGAACACAGCCATGGAGACGAACTCTCCAGCTACGTCCGTTCCGCAGATCCAATCGTGCATGTGGTTCGAGATCCCCCTTGCTGCTGAAAGTGCGCTAGACGCCCTCCGCGCGTTGATAATGGCCGCACCACGCGTCTGGATCATAGAAATGAAATCCCCCCTCAGCCAAGCAATGTCCTTCGCGAGCGCGGACTCAAGCTAATAGGTGTAGTGTGCGTTTTGGATAATGCATTCACTAAGTGGAAGTGCGAAAATGATGAGGTTGCGGATTGAAGATCATGAGGAGATAACGAATTATAGATGGTGCACAACTTGGTGATTGATGTCAAAATGGAGGCAATTGAAGCTGGAGGTTGAACAAGCTTGCTACTCGTACATGGAGTGCAACTTTCATTTTCTAACGAGAACTCATATTAGAAGATTATTCTACTAGAAGATCATTTACATAGATGTAAGTACCGGAACTCCATTGATCGTCCCATGGCAGACGTCTGGGTACTGCGTTGATGAACTATGGCTACCCAAAATGCACACGTTCTTCACCTGGCTTAATTGTACGCCTGCTTTCAATGCGATTTGACCTGGTGGAATGTCCGCGATAACTCTTCCATGCGAGGATCGATTTTTTTCGTATTGCTGCTGTTAGAGAGGAGGTTTTTAGTCCTTTTAGTACTAGTACTACTACTTAGAGGCACCAACAGCCCGACTTTTAGAACATCTTTCAGTTCTTTTCAAGTAGAAACTGGCTAAAAGATGCTGTGGGGAATGGGTTGACGGTACCCTTAAACTACTGCTCGTTCCCGCCTTCATGTGGTCCTTGACACTATTCGTAGCTGAAGATGAAGATGCACCGAGCAAGCCACCGATTGAATTCGAAGCTGTGTTGCTGCTCAAAAGATGTCCTGCAGTTGATGAACGACCACCGCCATCACCCACATAACCATCTTCTGAGGACTTTCCTATCTTCCTAGTTGGACATGGACTGTCTGTTCCAGCCTCTGCTCCACCAAAACCCAACAAATTGTTGCATCCAAGCTTCAAGCTCGCGTTCTAGAACTACTATCAACTCTGGATCGCCAGATGCCAAAAGCATCCTGTCTTTCTCGTTGGTGGTCGCTTCTCCAACATCGTCTTCGAGCTTATTCGCGAAACCGTCGCGAACAAGCAGATCGATGTTTATATCTTCTTCTTCAATAGAAGAACTAGTATACAGCTGTAGTTTTTCATTCTGCTCCAAGGACAAGCCATCATCACGTCCTGCAGCAAGAGACGAAACACTAAACGAAACCCGTGTTTCCCCACCACCCGTGTATCTCTTTTCAGCAGACGTGTAGTTGCCATCTTGCACGATCGAACCCACTTCTTCATCTTCTCCGGAAGAGCATCTTTTCGCGTGAGACGTCGTGCGTCGTCCTTCTTTCTCACTCCGCAGCTCCTCAAGTCGCGCAGCTTCGACCGCCAGTGCAGATGCGTGTCCATCCTGGATCTCGGAGAGCACATCCCGTGTCTCACGAGCCAAAAGGAAGAAGCGGACCATAATTTTCTCTTCCCTGCGGCAGCTAGCAGAACCAGAAGTTGCGTTATTACTAGACGAGAACGAAGACGACATCTTTAGAAGACCTCAAGGAAAAGTAAGGATATTTGGAGCAAGATCTCGATCAATGTAGCTTTATTTTCCTGAAAATATGTTGTATTCACTGATACTAAATCCCTTCATCTACAGGCACGTCCTTGTTCTTCTTCTTGTTGATAAGAACTTGAATACTGCACTTTTTCTGATTATACACAATTTGTCACATTTTGGCCTCTGCCTCATTTATTCTTCTTCTCTCTCGGGGGCAAGTATTGTTCTCCTTGTTTTCCATAGTTCTCTTGAACACCGATGGAGCTGTGCAAGTTTTCTCGCATCCATTTCAATGGACGAACCAAGAGGACCATCACGCTCGCCTTTTCGTCTCAAAAATAGCAGAACAGAGATGTTACACTGGAAAAGTTGTAAGATCTTCGAACGTGCTCATCACTGTTCTAATGGCACTGATCGCCTTGAACTTGGACACGGTGTTTCACAATCTATAATATCGAAATTGAATCGGTATCTTCCGATCGTACGAAAGTCCCAGAGAAAATTTAAAGATCCTTCCTCTGAAATTTGACATAGAACGAGCTGTAGCGCTCATACGTCTTGGACCCAGACGACAAGGTCGCGGACGACTCAGCTTGACACTCTACTACGAACTCAACAGCTAGAGATGTTCTTCCAAGTAAATGCGCGAGATCCCTCACCGCATCGTCATCGATGCCATGATCATACGAGAGTGCGCCTGGGTGGTTATTTAGTCTTTCGCTGAAAGCTGATACTCTGACGTGGCGAAAAACCGGACTACTCTCGTCACCTTTCTGAATCTGTTTCTCAAACTCTTGCTTGGAGGCTACGCCAAATTTCTTGCTTGTTGTACCTTGTTCGTCGTCGACGAAATGATGGCGGCACAATTTCTCCAAAACCGCCTTATCTTTGAGAAGCGCGAGTTGTTCCGTCAAAGGCCACACTGTTTGTTCGCTGCTCTGACCTTCCACTTTGAACTTGATGAAATAGTCGCGTGCAGGTGGAACCTCACTTAGTCCCACCCCTACGTATATTTGCAGAGGTTGAGCGTTTATTTGCCCTTTCAGTGTCGAATAACCGATAAATGAAGGCGTGCTAGACATCGGCGAAGGGATGATGTGGATCTCCGCTGATCGAGAAGTAGAAGAAGAATCTGGTATCACATCGACGTTGGCGTTGCTCTGCTGTCCCCTCTGTCGTAGTTGATCTTGCGTCTCTTGCGATGCGGCCCGTACTTCTAGCTGATGCTGATCCTGATGTGGATCTGGATGACCTTCCACCCTCTTACTAGCCGGCTCATCTTCAAGAAGATCATCTACTGGTAGTTTTCGTAGTGCTTCTCTTAGCTCGTCTTCCAACTCCTCTAGCCGTCTGCTGGTGTCATCTCTCTGCGCGCCCTGCGCGCTCGTGCGGTCCGCAGCCGCAGCCACCCTGGTCGACAACTCCTGCAGTTGTTCCTGTAGCGCTTTTACTGAAAGGCCCAATTGGTCCACTTTTTCATTCAGCCTTCGACGATCCTCCTGCGCACCAGCCTCGATAGCCTTAACGGTATTCAATATTCATCTTTCCACCTCATCCCTGAAAATTGTAAGCCTATATATTAAAGGGCTAAATAATTGTGAAGGGACTAGATTTCTGAATGATTGGGGACAAGGCATAGCCTTGCTACCAGTATGGCAGCTAACATCACGAGGCCAAGAGCTAAACATATCTCGAACCGGAGACGCCTACAGTGCTCTCCTGATTGTTTTTACACCGTCACGGGAACGCATTGCAGCAGCAGAGTAGTTAAGGGCCCATACGCTCATACGAGATAGACTAGCTAACCTACTTAAGCAATTCACCTTAACACCATATAAACCCCACAAAGGCCGCAACCCCTCAATTAGCCCGACTGTAGTTTGGTTTGTACAATAACCCGCCCCAAGCTACACACGCCAAGCACGTGCGCTTGGTTTGTACAAGAACCCGCCCCAAAGAAGAACACCGAAAAGAGGAGACGCCACAGCCTAGCCTTAAGCCCGTTCGCAGTTGGAGGTTATTTCACTCACGGTCTTGTTTCGAGAACCCTGATTTTTCGCCAGGTAAAAGTAAAGACCGGCAGGCCTAAGCAGCATAGTGGCAAAGCCATCGCCACAGAGGAAAAGAAGTCGCTCGAAGTATGAATGTGTGGCGGCATTCGCAACAAGTGCGAGAGGAGACCAGCAACACCCCACCGGCAAGGGCGAGCCACGCCCAGAACCAGCCTAGCGTAAAGCTCGCGGAGTCATGTGCCCGGCTACTGCGCGGCACACAGAGATCACGCGGGTGGATAATAAAAATTGTGAAGGGACTAGATCCCTGACTGATTGACACTGAGGACAAGCAATGCCTTGCTAGTAGTATGATAGCTAATACCACGAGACCAAGAGCTAAATATATCTCGAACCGGAAGCGTTTACAGTGCTCTCCTGTTTGTTTTCACGCCGGAACGTATTGGAGAAGCAGAGTAGTTAAGGGCCCATACGCTCATACGAGGTAGACTAGCTAAACTACTTAAGCAACTCACCTTAACACCATAAAAAGCGCTAAATAAATAAAAGTAACAACGACTCCGCCACACTATCAACCTCACACACCCGAACCCCCAAGCACCCGAACCCCAGGCACTTAGGCTCATGAACCCATGAACCTAGGAGCCTAGGAACTTCTAGACTTCTGAACTTCTGAGTTTATGGCCTTCGAAGTTTATGAGCTTCTGAGCGTGTGAGTTTCTCAATTTGATGGACCCTCAATGCGTCCGAAATATAATAAGTAAAAGCAAGCCTGCAAACCTGCACTCAAGTCACTGTATAACCGACCCGAACAAAAAGGGCGACTTATATCCGGGTCGCCGATGCACAAGCCTCCGTCTTGCAACAGTCAACCGATGAACCCTGACGCATTTCCAAACCCGCAGGCTTGTCTTTATGCTTGTTGCTTGCGCAGTATGCTGAATGTACTTTCGCTCTGCTACCTGTTGTTCTATCTTGTGAGCTTTCTGTTGAGAGTGAGAGGCATCAGCGCTAAGGCGCATCACTGAGTCGGGCGCACTCAGTCACAGCTTTTCTTTTCTCCGCGGCCGCGCTATTTGTTTCTTTGCTTCATCAAAAAGTCTGGAATTTTTAAGGTACAAACATCTAGAATAGAGTAAGGCACTTTTTGACCCGTATCGGGTCGAGTTGCTCGAGTTGCCCACCCTAATTTTTTACGCGGCGCCCTTCGGGCGCGGCTTTATGAGACTCCGCGAAACCTCAGCAGGAGCGTACGACACTGCGAGCCGTGTCTCTGGTCCTTGATTTTCTTCGCAGTGCACCCTTGAGACAGGAGCGAGTAACCGTCTGGGGCTCGAAACTCATCCCATTCTACTCAGCCACCTGCTTGGTCATCTAGTTACTCGCGGCATCTAAGTAAAGGCGACGAAACTAGTGCGATCGCGATGACCCACTTCCAGCCCCCACTTCCACCTAATGGAATGCTTTCGTTCTCTAGTCTACTCACCCCAAGCAAGGCTGGACGCGCCGCCCTATAAAGCAGACGGGGCCACTCGCTCTCACCCCCAGAGTGGACTCATATCATTGGGCACAGGACACATCCGAAGAAAAAAAGGAGAGATCGCCAGCGACTAGACGACACCACACGCCACAGCGACACTGACACCAAACAAAAACAACAAAGAGGCGAGTCCTTCGCTCCCTTGGCCTTGGTTGTGCTTTATAAAGCGCCCGCGCGCAAGCTACAAAAAAGAAGGCATAAGGGCCCAAGCCTGGGAATGGCGCAAGTGCTCCACGCACCCCATGCGCCATGCGTGCTATAAGCTGCTCTGTAACAGAGTGCAGAAAATGAATACTCTCAGAAACTAACGGAAAGACGGCGGGCCCTTGTCAAACCTGCCGACAAGTCACAATCAATATGACCCCAATAATAAATAGCCACGCCCTCAGCTCACCTAAGCGCACTCTGAGAAATCCAGACACGTGGGCAAACTCATCTCGCAAGCCTGCGCTAGCTTTGAGAAGTGCCGCAGCGAAGATATGCGCAAATCTATGGGCATGGGAGGACGTGCCTAACCGCTCTCGCAGACAGCCGGGCCCGTCATCAATCTAGCAAGCTACGGCGCGACAGATTCTGCCGACCTGTCGTCCACTAGTTAACAGCACCCACGCCGTGGCACATGAATAGCCACAGGCTTACCCATGAAGAGGCCGACACCTACGCAGATGCAGCACGTGGATGCATACACCCACACAGACCGACGCCGCAAAGTTGGCCGGTGCATAGTGTACACGCACAGAGTGAGACATACTAACTTACAAGCCACGCCTTTGCCTTGCTTCATAGATGTGCACAGCCATGACATGCTCCAGAAATATGCTAGACAGCTGGACACACTGACGCACAGACCCATACACACAACACCCAGACGACCCGCAAAGACTGGACATAGCGAGCAGGCCAAGCAACGGCCCCGAGATAAAAAAGCAAGCGGCTCGATCTGCCAAGAGTTACCCAGCGGGGGGGCCAGCTACGTGCACCGGCAGGCAGCTACGTGGGAAGACACTGAGCTACCCACGCGTCCCCCCTGCTTGAAGCTTCTAAGAAAGCAGCAGCAAGGCGGGCCAGCACGCTAGCCTAGGCGGCCACTTTTGTCAGCCGGCTGATAGACGTGCGCCGCCTGTCAGGCCAGCGCTCACACGCGTGCAGCCTGCCCGCTTGCCAAGCAGAGACTGACAGAAGCAGGGGAGGCCAGGCTATGCCAGTGGCCCAATAAGTGAAAGAAGTAAGCGGCGAGACACATGGAGCGAGCGGCGGGCCACGCGCGACGAGAGTAAATAAAGAGGAAGAAGAGCAAGCGGCCACCCCTGTGGTTGCGCTCGCTGTTTCTTTGTGTCAACCGTCGCGAAATTCGCGAACCAACTGAGTGAACCCGCGGAAACCTTCGGCAGCTTTCGGGGATTCATTTCCGGGGAGTCTCTTTTTGCAAAAGGTAGAGCGCTAGCCCTTGCCGGGTTGTTTTGCTCCCCTCTCTTTCTGTTCGGTCGCTTCATTTTGGTGGAGGGCGTTACCTCTAACCGGCTGCGCATCGTTCAGCCTACGTCTGAAGGGGGGGGGCGTCGGTCTCCAGACTATGAATCACCTTAAGCACGAGCATCAGGACCACCCTGCCGGTACTGAGGTCAACAGCGTAACGACCCAGGAGCGTCATGACTGACCAAAGAAACAACAAGAGCAAGAAGACCAACACGACAGCAGCACCAAGATCAGCAGCACCACCATCAGCATCAAGGCCACTAAGGTCAAACTTCTAAGATCCTTCAGGCCTTTAGCGAGTAAAGTAAGTGGCTACTTGGATGACTGTAGGCAAGATAGACCCAGGCCGAGTCTGTGAAGAATCACCATAAGGACCCACTTGAATCCCTATGCTGCTGGTTCTGATTTCAGTCGTTCCCGCCTATGTTCCTGGTCCTTCGTATGTTCCTCCCATGGTATGAAGATCCCCACCAGAATGACAAACCGCACCAAGGTCCCAACGGTTCCCAGGTTCCCAGGTTCCCCGAGTAGTTTCATCATCATCATCATCATCATCATCATCATCATCCTAGTAGAAGTCACCAACTTCATGCGTATCCTAGTGGTAGACGTGTCATCTTTCTCACCCGCAGGCTGGTAATAGTGACCCGAGTAATTTCCCGGGCTTGCATGCGTGTGATAGTGGTTTCCAGTGTGTTCATTCTAGTGGTGTAAATGTTTGGTCGGTATTCAGTCGGTGGACATTGCTAGCATTCTACTAGTGCCCTCCTTTTTCGCCTTTGTATGTTTGCAGTAGTAGGACAGCAGTACTAGGCAGCTAAAACTTTCGCACTCGTTCAACAGTCTGAAGAATGGCAGGAGACGAAACAGGTGGAGGAGAGCCGCCAGCCCCACCAAGTACCGAAACAATGGCGCCCCCTAGGCCAATTGTTCTGCCCGAGATTACGCAGAAGGGAAAGCGGCGCGCTTGGTTGGAGCATGTGTTAACGGTGGCGGACGCCCACGGCCCGGACACCCTTTCGACCAAGATCCAGCAGGACCTGGCCGGCACAGAAGTAGAGTGGAGCTTAAACGAAAGCAACACGCTACGCAGACTCGAAATGGGTCTTCCAGGCGCCGCTCGAGGTAAACAGTTGCAAGCTGTTACTACCACCAACGCAGGCGAAAGCCGCACGCTTATGGCAAAGCTGAAGAAACTGCGTAAGCGTTGCACCGAGGCAACAGAACAAGCACGCATGAGCAGCATTGAATCTTTGGTAGACTCGGCGAAGCAACCGGAAGAGACAGTCGACGCATTCATCGACAGGAAGGAGGCCATCTCGCGCGATGAGCTCGGTGGTAAAGTAGATGCTCAAGAAGGAACTTCTACGCTTCGGGATCTTCTACCGCCTAGGAGATCCTCTGTCCTCTCAAATGATCCCTCATGTTATTGGTGGACCGAAAAGAACAGAAGAACTAAGAACCTACGCTCGTGAGTATGATGAGCATTTCCGGCTGCAGGGCGAAGACGGCGGCCACGTAAATATGTCACCCGCCGGCACAACGACCAACAGCAAGAAGGTCCAACAAGAAGAAGCCGGCGGCGCTTTTGTGTCAAGGGCTGAGTTGAAAAGGCTGGCGCGTGGCGCTATCAATACTCAGACGCAGAAGCAAAACGCGAACGCTTTGCTTTCCGGTGGTAACCCTTGGCAGGTACGTAAGCCCTTTGAAAAGAAGAAAGGCAAAGGCAAAGGTAAAGGAAAGCACGGCAAAGACGGCAACACATCCACCGGAGGATGGGTAGAACCAGCACAGCGAGCCTGTCACCTGTGTGGCAAGAAGGGGCACACGCGCGCAGCATGTCCCCAGGCGGGGGGAAAGAAGTGGGCAACTTCTTTCCTGGTAGAACAAGGCGAGAATCTTGGTAAAGATGCTGCTTTAGGCAGTGCTGAACAAGAAGGCCAAAGAGGAGAAGACCAGCAAAGCAAAGAGGAGGAAGAAGAAGAAGACACAGAGCACCATGAAGAAAAAGCTGCTCTGAAGAAGAGAGCTCGTCTTAGCTTGCATTTGGATGAGTATCATCCTGCATCCAAAGAACAACAAAAGGCCGCAAGTAAGTATTTGCAACAAGAAAGCAAAGTAAGTAGTTTGCATTCAGACCATAAAGGAAGCAACTTAAGCAACTTGCAACCAGAACAAGAACAAAGAAACGTAGCGGGTTTGTGCTCGGTTTTCAGCGGCACCCAAGAAGGTGACTGGGCATCCACTTCAGAAGAAAAGAAGGCGGACGGCGCTGCTGTTGAGTTGTCACGAACGAAACTAACAGCAGCAGCAGCGTACACGTCGATCCTGCATATTCAGGACGATGGTAAAGAAGAAAAACAACAACAACAAAACAAAGGAGATTCCGCACTGTTTTCAAAGAGCAAAGATTATCGCCTGCATTTAAGTGGTGAGATACATAGATAGTAAGAGCAACGACGACGGTGAAGGCAATGACGACGAAGATGATGGCAGTTGTTTTCTTGGTGGTGTTTCCAAGACAAGGAAAGTAAACACTGTGGCCCCCTGTGTTTGTGACAGTGGTGCTTCGCACCACATGAGTGGCGACGAAAGTCTTTTTAGGTGTGTGCACCGCACACAGCGCGCCAGTCTAAATGTGGCGGACAGAGCACCTTCACGCCCCGCCGTGAGCGGTATCTTCAAAGAGAATTCCTTGGGGCTCACGGTTGGCCTTTTCCGCCCGGAGCTTACTCAGATGCTAGTCAGTGCTGACGCACTAAACGAAGACGGTTACAGTGTCGCTCTCGATAAACCAGAGTCGCATACCCTGCATAAGGCTTCTGGTTGGTGTGTTCCCGTATACATCAACGAAACCCAAACAGGTCTACCTGTGGTAGACGTTGACTTCTACAAGAAGACAGAGTCAACTTCGGCTAGCCCAGCTAAGGTTCAGGAGGGGGCTCCGGCTTCACTCTCCACTGCGGCTAAGCTTAGGGCCCATCAGCAGTGTGGACATCTTTTCGCCCCAAGTCCAGTAGTCGACAACCGTCACGAGTGCAGCGAACATGTCAAAAGTTAGGGCTTCTGGCGCTGGTGAGCGGCCTGCTCATACGGTGGCGACCAAACTCAGTGAGAAATTAGACTGCGACTTTACAGGACAGTATCCCCGTGCTGTTACTGGGGAGATCTGGCGTCTGTCTATGATAGAGCAGCATCTAGGTTGGCCAGATAGCTACGCACTGAAAGCTAAAGACGAGCGTCGTCTTGGTCTCCGACGGTGGACCAGAGACAACAAACAGACGGAAGCCGTTCGTAGTGACCACGAGCCTGCTTTCAAGGGTGAAGGATCTCGCTGGCGTCTGTTTTGTGCAAAGCAAGGAAGCCCCATCAATTCGCGCCGAGTATAGTGCAGTATACACCCCGTGGCGTGGTAATGGCATCGCAGAAAGATGGAGTCAAACTTCGCAAAACGCGATCCGTACAAACCTCATCGGAGTCGACAACGGAGTCTGGTCTTGGTGTGCAGAAGACTACCCTACGCGCCTCACGTTTATCAAAGACTACCTAGAAGGGACGGACTGAGCGTCTTTGAAAAACGTTACGGCAGGCAGCCTTCTACGAAGCACTTCCGTCATCTTGGGTGTTTGTGCTTTGCAAAGATTCACGTAGCTACTTCGAGCAAGTTGGCCCCCAGAGCCGAGCGTGGTACATTTCTAGGATATTCGCGCAATTCGTGTTTCTTGGTAGGTGTCTGGGGGGAGGATAATCGAACAGCCCTCGGCGTGAAGTTTTCCGCCATTGAAAGCAGAGCCGCTCGATTTGGTGAGTTTGTCTTGATTTCCAACATCGACGACCTAGAACCCGATAAGGGATGAGTATTCGTAAAGTATCCTGACTACAAGCAGCTTGAAGAAGTAAATATATCCCCTGAAGGTGTTCCTGGTGTTGCTCCTCGGGTGCCTGACGATCCTAGTGTGGCTCCTACCGGATCTGATCACCTGGATAGTGTGGCTCCTGGTGACAAGGGTGACGGGGGTGCGCCTGAACAGTCAGCAGGTGATAATATCGCCGACGGTGATCCCCCAGCGGATCCTCCCCAGGTGGGTGCGGTGGATGGTAAGTCAGATTCGTCAGTACCCCCCGAAGTAAATAATCCGTCCTCCCCTTTTCCCGCTAGTAGTAGCAACGATCAGCAAGAAGAAATCCTGCGGGCTCCCCCCCTGGTGAGTGTTACGAAGCGTAAGCGCGGTCGTCCAAAAGGTTGCAAAGCAAAACCATGGGGGAAGAAGCCTGGCCCCAAGCCGACTTTTGTAGCATCATTTTGTAGAGCAGGCGCCCTCTTGTCGTATATGTTGGCAGCAGATAGCTTCGCCTATGCTCAGACAGTAGACGATATAGACGAAATGCGAAGCAATCTGCCTGACATTGGTAAAGATGTGCCAGAAATGTGCCAAAAGTACTCTGACGAAACAGAGGAAGAGTCCTACTTGTACACAGTAACGGCGACAAAGTCCGAGGCCCACGAAGGTCCCGACGCCGTCAAATGGTTGGAAGCAGACGACAGGGAGCGCCTAGCACTCGAGGCGATGAAGTGCTGGCGACCGTTAGAAGAAGGAGAGCGTCAGCCAGGAGATGACGTCGCGCCTAGTGTGGTCATCTATACTCGTAAGAGGTGTGGTAGGTATAAAGCCCGACTTGTTGCGTTAGGTAATCGGCAGAAAGCGTCGACGGCTGGGAGATGTGTCCCCGTGCACCCGGCCTATTTCGAGAAGAAGTCTGCGGCAGTGTCCTCACAGTGAGCGTCTATGTTGGCGACAGCGTAATCAGTGGTGCGTCTGTTGAAATTGTGAGAAGTGAGCCAAGTGAAATGGGTAACGTTCTCGCTAAGTAGCCCGGTAAGGTGATCGGTCCCGATGTAAAAGGCGACGGCGCTAAAGTTTGGGACATGTTGGGAGCAGTATTAGAGTACAACCCTTCCCGACGGTGGTGCAAGATTCACACGCGTGAGGCAGTCGGTCGTCTATTGCGAAGATTCAACATTGCCGAGCGTCGAGCTGTGTCCTCGCCCGTGTTGTACAGTCCTGAAATGAATCCGATACCCCTACGACTGGCGACTTCCCGTTGCGTAGTCTGGTCGGAGGTTTGATGTATATCGCAACCCTGTGTAGAGTGGGCATAGTATTCCCAGCACAACGCGTGGCCCGTGAAGTGGCTAACCCCACTGAGAACACAAAGAAGAGAGCAAAGCGCATTCCTCAATACTTAAAAGGTACAAAAGGCGTAGGCCTCGAATACTCCCCCGAGGTCGAGACTTGGTTTCTTTCAACAAAGTATACAGAAAGGTAGCGGCGGAAGCTGGTAAAGAGGTAGGTAAGTCAGTTGCGTTCAGCGATTCTGACTTTGCTGGTTGTACAGTAGCCCTGAAGTCAACCAGTGGTAGCGCCTTGCACTTTCGCGGAGTTCCCGCAGCGTGGTCCGTCAAACGACAAACAGTCAGAGCACATAGCACTTGTGAGGCTGAGTATGTCGCTGCATGTGACACTATCAAGATGCGCACGGCCCAAGGCTTTCTTGATTGGTATCTAGAGACAGAAGGCTCAGGAGGTGCCCCCCTTGTATTTGTGGATAGTGAGTCTGCTCTAGGTCTCATTAAGTCTACAGTAACGGCGAAGCGATCGAAGCACATCGATCTTCGGTGTCACGCAGTCCGCGACCATGCCAAGACCCTGCGTTATTGTCCAACGGACTTGAACCGAGCAGACCCTCTCGCGAAAGGTCTGAGTAGTGTCAAATATCTACAGCTATTTCGTGCGCAAGACGACGAAAAATTGAGGTCCGTAGCCAGAGCGCATTTTGTCACTTTCTCGAAGTTGTGATCGGGAGTCGTGTGTAACACTTGGCGCGTGTAGTTTTGTGTGGTGGTCCTTACTTTGAAAGGGGGAATGTAAGCAAGATAGACCCAGGTCGAGTTTGTGAAGGATCACCATAAGGATCCACTTGAATCCCTATGCTGCTGGTTCTGATTTCAGTCGTTCCCGCCTATGTTCCTGGTCCTTCGTATGTTCCTCCCATGGTATGAAGATCCCCACCAGAATGACAAACCGCACCAAGGTCCCAACGGTTCCCAGGTTCCCCGAGTAGTTTCATCATCATCATCATCATCCTAGTAGTAGTCACCATCTTCATGCGTATCCTAGTGGTAGTCGTGTCACCTTTCTCACCCGCAGGCTGGTAATCGTGACCCGAGTAATTTCCCTGAATTGCATGCGTGTGGTAGTGGTTTCCAGTGTGTCCATTCTAGTGGTGTAAATGTTTGGTCGGTATTCAGTCGGTGGACATTGCTAACAATGATAGAAAACAGACGGCCGCGATCTAGTTAGCCTAGTCGGATGGAATGCATTAAGCCGGAGGGATCTTCATAAAATAACAACAGCAAAAGGCAATCGCTTGGCCTTCTCACTTTTGTCCTGTGCTTGTGCAAATTGGCGCTACCTAGTCACAAGACAGGGGCGACATCGCGGAGGATGGTGAAGCACATTACCCAAAGCCGTAGCCATTGCACTCCCCTGAGCATGCCCTAACTTTGGCGCCCTCCTGGCCGCAACAAAAGACCCCACGGAACAAGCCCAAGGGCCTGAGTGTATATAGTTCCAAAGCCAGCGATCAACAAGCAAAGGCAAAGGCCTGCAGCGTTTTCAGATAGCAGAGGCAGCGCGCCCATGGTCATAGCTGTAGCCATGTGTGCCCGTACTTCCTTGCCAGTTCTGACCCGTTCGAAGCGGATGAGGCTGAGGACCGTCATAGCGTGCCCGCGTGATAGCTTCCCCTATGGTCTGACGCGTATCCATCCACTAAATTCAGCAGGAACCAGATGGGTGTCGGCGTAGATGATCGCACGAAATTGATGACGATAGCAACAGAGTCCCAATATTAGGAGCGCACGGAATTCCCCCCATCATGATACCCCAAGAAGCACCAGGGGCCTCCCCTCAACCCCAAGACGAGTGCCCACAGGGATGAAGCCAGCCATTGGCCATTTGCTTCAGGCGGTGGGCCCAATTGCATCAGGCAAGAGCCTCGCTCAACGTTTCTCCACGAGACGCTTCAACTTGCCAAGACTTCGCAACCTGTGCTATGTCTTGTGGTCCAACATTCACAGACGCCGTGAAAAACGAATTTGCTACAGCGGCCTTACTCTCTTTAGAACGCCGCCTCATCCGCATTGCTGGCACATAGTGCGTGGCATAGCCACAGGCTTGATCTCGTTGCTCACTACTTCACCACCACAACCAAAACAATCCCGATAGTCTAGGGCGGCCTAGGCCGTTTTCCGCACTAGCTGCTAGAACCGAGCCTGGTCGTGCGCCAGGCTTGAAAAGACCCGCCCGCAGCGGGTTGGGAGCTACATCAAGACGTAGCCCACGTGGCCGCGCCACTGGAGCTCGCAGAGCTCGCACGCGTGGTTAACCACCGCGCAGTCAAATCCGGATGATCGGTGGATGGTCGCACCATCCTAAGAGCCACCCAGGCTGAGCCTGGTGCGGCAGCAGTTGCCCGACGCTTGGGCGGCGCGGGTGCGACATGCGTGTGGGTGTCAATCAGACACGGGCAACAAGAGCGCTTTCTGGTCTTAGCATGACGGTGTGGGGGCAAAGAAGTGGCATCGGGCATCGCATGCCAGTGCGCCAACGCGGAGGTCGCTTCATACTGCACCCACGCGTCGGGCGGCGAAGCAACCAGGCGAAGGCGCGAGTCCCACGCTGGGCGAGGAGGCGCAGCCCCCGAGACGAGCACCGCACGCCAGTCAATTTTTAGTTCGGTCACATAGACAAGTGGTGTCCAGAGCATGAGGCTGGCATCGCGGTACTCAACTCTGCTGAAGCCATCAGCAGGGTTATACAGAGTGTTAATGTACCGGCGCCAGCCCCTAACTCCCTTGAGTCGGTTCTCTATTGCCACCTCTGGCGCAACCCTCTGCGTTATTCGGCTCCTTGCGCTCACCTTAGTGAGCGCATACATCTGTCCAGTGTTATCTACATTCATGACCATGACTGAGTCGCGAAACTCAAGCAGGAAAGCCCGCTGCGCAGCTACGACCGTGAGCGTCTCGAGGTTTTCGATTGTGGCCTCTTTTTCGCCAGCGTTCTCAGGCGCCTGGAATTCGATGGACATCGCTTTCACCGTCCCGCAGGCGGTAATCAAAAGTGCCCCGAGAAGAGGGCCACCATCTTGTCCGCCATCCGTCTCCGTGGACGCGTCCACTGCGAGGCAGTGGTAGGGGCGCGGAGGTGTGTGCTGCAGCAGGATTGGTGGTGCGTCGCAGAACAAGCGCCGTAGTGCACGCACGAGTGTGGCGAGCCCCGCGCGTTCCTGTCTGTTCTTGACAAGGGCCGCGAACGTATGGCCGCCCGCCCAGCGGTATAACCCACGGAGGAATTCCGCGCCGCTGCGGCAGCTGTGTATGACCAAGAAGTTCGCGTATCCAAGGAGGCACCGCGCGGCCTTCTGCTTGATCTTCTTCTCCTTGACTTGTGCTATGACCTCATCGCAGAGCTTGAGGCCTTTCACTGCCTTGTCTGCAGGTAAGACCACGACTACCCGCTGTAGAGGCCGATCAAGCCAGTACATCAGCCCTAGCGCTTTGATGTATTCGACGCCATCATCCCCCGCGCATTGGTTTCCGTCGGCCTTCGGCGATAGCCGAAGACCAAGCAGCTTCGATAGCCGATCGAAGACATGCCGTGACAGGAGGACCCCCTCTTTGGATGGGGAGTATATGAACGAATCATCAGTATATATGTGGCGCACCAGTGCCAGTTTTGTGGCTATTTTTCGCACCGCCTCGCTGACGCGGCAAAAGCCTGGGACGCTATGACGGTTCCCCATATTCAAGAACGCGGATCTGAATAGCCTCCATCGCTTTAGGAGGTTTGAGAAATATGCTGCAGCGTTGAACTCCGGACGCTCCACGCCGAAAAGGAAATGCGCGGGTTTCCAATCGCGCGAGCACATGTGTGGTAGCGTACCAGGCGAGCCACCGGCTTCCGCACGAAGGTCTTCATTCCACTTGACTACCGCAGCAGCGGCCTCGTCGGCGGAGGCGACGGGCGGCGGCGGCAATGGATCATCGTGCTGCTTTTTAGTGTTGTTGTGGATGTCAAACGCGGAGACGCGTCTTCTGGTGGCCTCGGTAGCATGCCACGCTTCACGCGATGCGCTTGATGCTGGTAGTCGCAGTCCTATGTGCTCGGCACCAACGGGCGCTAGGAAAGATGTGATGACCTCTTGGATCATACGAGTACCTGCCAAGGAGACCTTCCCTAGCAGGACAGAGAAATTATTATAATGCGCGGCATCCACGATCTGCCTGATCTTCTCGAGTTGTGATGGTTGGATTTCCTCATACCAGCCAGCGGCAGCCATCTTCTCCGCTTCATCAATCAAGCCATCCAATAACTCGCCCGGCCACGCGGTGGGTTTCGCCTTTTTTACCCAGGCCGCTGCATTGAGAAAACCGCTGCACTTCCTCGGTAGTAAGTGGAGCTGCACTTTTGTCCAAAGGCCAGACCCCCGACGAGTCCGCGTCTCCATAGCAGCGCAGCCCACGCAAGATGTCATCTGGTAGGCTTTTATCTTGGTGTCCGGGCCACGTGATGAGGTGCCGCAGCGCCACGCGGTTCCTCTCGCAGTCGGTGCCGAGGCCCAACACTTTTTGAAGATGTGGCTTGGCGGTGGCTAGGAGCGCGCTGCTAGCTCTACGCGTGGTAGCTTCGAGTTCGTCCAGGAACGGAATGGCGCTGCGCAGTTTGTTCAGCGCGCAGCCTGTTCAGCCATTCCCCACGCTGTGCCTTGGACAGGTTGACACTGCAACGCGTATCGCTCGGTATTGTTGATGTGCTGTGGAGCGCTGCCTCCTGGAGTACATGCTGCACGATGTGGATAATTTCCGCCGCTTGGCGTCGATCCCGGTTTGGGTCGGGCGCCGAGACGGCTGCACTAGGAGGTTGAGCCTGCGTTTTTTTTTGTGGTGCCGATGAGGGGCGGTCTACTCCATGTAGCCTGCTGTTGTGGAGGATGTGTAGTCCGTGTGGAGTTCGGGGTGGTGGTGGGCCAAGAATTTCACTACCGAGCGGTGACCCAGCCAGCGCATCAACGACCACTAAAATGAACGCGACCTTTTCAACGCTGGTAGAATGAACACCCACCGCCCCAGCGGTTAAGAGAGAGTAGGCTTCGCGACCTCTCTTTAGAACACCGCCTCATCCGCATTACTGGCACATAGTGCGTGGCATAGCCACAGGTTTGATCTCGTTGTTCACTACTTCACCACCACAACCAAAACAATCCCGATAGTCTAGGGCGGCCTAGGCCGTTTTCCGTACTAGCTGCTAGAACCGAGCCTGGTCGTGCACCAGGCTTGAAAAGACCCGCTCGCAGCGGGTTGGGAGCTACGTCAAGACGTAGCCCACGTGGCCGCGCCACTGGAGCTCGCAGAGCTCGCACGCGTGGTTAACCACCGCGCAGTCAAATCCGGAAGGTCGGTGGATGGTCGCACCATCCTAAGAGCCACTCAGGCTCGTAGACACGACCCCCAAATGTGTTGGACGCGTAGCGCCCCCAATAGTGTTCGACGAGACGCGACCACGCGGCGCTGCGTAGTACTCGTGCCTTGCGGACTGACTCCTGGTGGCACATAGGGACTTCACGTCTGCCGCTGATGAGTTGCTCGCGGTAGAAGGCCGGCAGTTCTTCCCACTTCTTGCTGCGGTGATGTGTTGCTGTGACGCTAACAGATGACGACGACGCGGCGGAAGCCGTGTTTGTTGGTGGGACGTTGCTCGGCCGGCCTCTCTTGTTTTTCTTGTAGTCGCCGAGTGTGGCACTCGTTGCGACTTTGTTCTTCACGCTGCTGATTGGGAGGCATCTGCCGTTGACTTATAGGCGCACCTTAGCGGGCTTCCCCCGCGCCATCATCTTTGCTTTGGAGACGCGGAAAGCTGTTTTGCCGGCGTTTTTCGCTGCTGCTTGACCTGTTCCAGCAGCATCTTCCGTCACTTCGCTCTTCTTGTACTTCTGAACTGCTGCACGTTTAGTGAATTCGAGTCTGCGGCCTTTGAAGACGAAACCATGTGACGAGTTTGGGCTGGAAGCAGCGATGGGCCAGATGCCATTGATGCGCGGCAGCAGCAGCAAGGAGGATCTGTGGTCCTCGAGATCAGCCGCGTATTCCTGGAAGGTCGCCGGTGACGTCCAGCCGCGGCCATACATGAACACTGTCAAGTTTGTCTGCCGACCCGCCTCGATGTTGGCACGAGCTGCCAGCGCAACGGCTCTCCTGGCGGAGTGCTCAGTTACTTCCAGTTTGTTGAGGATGCCTGGTAGTAGGTGGAGCTGCAGGCCGGCCGTGTAGTTGAACGGCTCTCCGTCTTGACCGTGTAGGGGGCACAGTACATAGTACCGCATCCCTGGCTGTTCGCAACAGCAAGACGCCGTGACCGTGCGGCCAGCGACGCCGTCTACTTTATCGGCAGCGATGTAAACCTGCACCGTGCTGGTCGTGGTCACGATGTGACGTGGAAGCATTTTCTTCAAGGTCGCAGCTCGTACACCCAGCACGCACCACAGCGCCAGCAGGGCTCTCTCGTCCCCAGAGAGTGCGCTCACCACACTATTAACAAGTAGTGGCCGCGCTTTGCCTGTTGGCTGCTTGTTGACGGCCCTCTTAGCATCCTCTTCGGCGTCGGCGAATGCCTTGGGCTGCATGCCTGTTGCGTCAGGCACCAGCAAGAACTGCGCGCGGCCGGTCGCATCTAAGGGCGGGGAGACGAGGAACTTGGCCAACATTTTGATGGTGTTCATGACGCTACACGCGGCATGGTCAGTATCCACTAGATGTAGACAATACAGCTCCAAGTGGGTGAAGCTGATCTTCTCCCACGGTGGGATAGCAGGCACACAGCGGTATTGGAGCCATTCCCGGAACAGCTCATATGCGGCGGCGTTCTGCTGCAGCGTGTTCAACTCCTTGCTACGTCTGAGTAGTTGTTGCTCCATGGGGTTGGTCTGCCGTGCGAAGGCTTTTGCCCTGGGCCCCGCCGCGTTGTACATCTTCGCATCGCCGATATTAGCGGAGACTGTGGCTGCAGAGATGGATGTAGAGGGGAGGCTGCTGAGCCATTCCCTTGAGGAAAGCTAGACGTCACCAGCGCAGCGGCATCCGAGAGCGGGCCGCCCGCTAGTGGGAAGAGCTTCGTCTGGCTCCCCGCCGCACTAACGCATTTTGGCTTCTTCCCCACGCTGGGGAGCGCGACCGCCGTCGCTGACGCGCGCTGTGCATCGATGCGCTGTGCTGTGGCTCGCTGCCACCAAGGCAGTTCCATGCTGTAGTGTAGTTGATATAAGTTTTAGATATTTATGTATATACATGTAGTACGCTAGTCTTAGTTAAGCAGTGCTATGATACTTATTTCTCTCCTGACTCACTCTCAGTGGGTCTCTCCGTCCCCGGCGTCACGTTGTCCCCGCGGGACTGCGCCGCTGGACACTAACCTCGCAAGTTAGCGGCATCGCATGCCGCACATGTATGGCTCGTAGTCCCCGCGGAACTACATGCGCAGAGGTCCAATGAGAAAGGCCCACGCCATGCTTTGCTATCGTTTCAATGTGCTGCATTTTCAAGCGGCTTTAGTGTTTTGTTATGTTCTCGCTGCTTTGAGTTTTTTACTTTGATTTCAGTGCTCTGCTTACACTCGTATTGTGGTGGGAGCGTAGGCGCAGCCCGCTGGCTGCGCTCCCGTAGTGGTATGAATGATTGACTTCGAAGATATGAGCTCCATCGCATGGAGGTGTGCCTAAGCACACAAGAAACAAAAAACAAAAAACGTCGGGGCACCGGGTGGGCAGCTGCCAAGACCGACAGCCGTCTAACTTTTTACATATCAAGGCAAGAGTCTGTAGCTACAAGGCCACGCATACTTAAACAATCAGCTTCGTCCTTTGTTTGGTTTAGTTGCTTCGTGCTTATTGTTAACTACGGTTTACTGCTGCATGAGCAGTGCCAGGAGATTTTATATTTTCGCCTCTCCTGTTTGCGGCATTTAGCCGCCCCCTCGGCCTTTTCGGCCTTTTCCCTTTTTGCCGTCGGCTCTCGGCTGTTTTTCTTCTTCATCATCCGCGTCGTCATCCTTGATCTCCGCAGTGCATTCGTCAGGTTTCCCGCACTTGCCCTTTGCGGCCATATCTAGTTGTAGTTGCACTAGTTTGGGCCTGACGATCTGGAAGCGGTGGCGGCGCTGCACGAAGTGGATGAACTCGCAGGTCGCAGTGCTTTCGATGGCATTTGGAGAAAGCGAACTGCTTGCAGATCCCGGCCGGCAATGCCACACCCTCGACAATGGGCGACTCCGCGACGCCCTTTGAGTTTAGGGCGAAGGTGGGCCCGCTCTTGAAAGCCGCGTCCACGTAGGTTGACCACTTGCGCCTTAGGATGGGGCCGACTCGCCCCTCCTTGAGCGCCGTTTTGACAGTGCCGGGCGCAGACTTCTACGAGGTGCTGTTGTTGCTCGAGGTGCCCCTCGTGCCCTTCTTGGCCTTCTTGGATTGGCGCCCATGCTCTTCTTGGTGGCGCTTCGTGCCAGGGCCTGGACCAGCGCCACTACCTCCATCATCGCTATCGTCGTCATCCTTTCCCCACTTCTGTGCACCATGATGTTCGGCCCAGTGTTTTTTGCGCCCCTGTATAAGCGCGACTAGGATGGTCCATCCATGCGTCATGATGTAGCACAAAGATCGTCCATTTGCAGCTGCAGGCGCCCCAGTTGCAGCTGAAGGAGGGACGTTGTCATACAGCATGAACACAGCCGCGGGGAGGATATGCAGACAAAGGTCCGCCTTGGAGACGGATTGTACTTTTGGTCTGATGTTCGCATATGCCTCCTCCGCCGCGTGCAGATCTGTGCGTTCTTCAACTACTAGTGACGTTCGCAGCAGTGCTCCGAACTGGGTAGCGTCAGCGTTCGCTTTGCATGGGCTGGCCATGAGGATGGCCTTTTCTCCCTTCTCGTAGAGGTTGGTCTTGCAGTTTCTAGTTAGCTCGAAGATGCGCGAGAGGTTGTATGCATCGTTTTGAGCTGGCGGCATCCCTTGGACTAGTTTTGTGACCTTATCCTTCGCCAGGGTCTTGACTGCATGTTCATAGACCGTCTTATCCGCCATAGCGTCCGGTAGCTTCATCGCCTCCAGCCAGCCCAGGTTTTTGTATGCAACATCATGACGCTGCTGTGTGGCCCCAGCCAGGGTGGACGGCTTCCATGCTGCCGCGAACTCTGCCAGGTCCTGTTCTGTGCAGATTCCATTCGCGACGAGGATAACCAGGAGGCGGCGCCAGACTTGCCTCTCCGACTCCGGTAGCCGCTGGACTGTGCGAAACGCCATGGAAAACGGGTGGATGAGGATGCACGTAGCTAGTCGATGTAGGTGTTGTTCTACTACGTTGCCGCGCCAGTCCAGCAGCAAGTCCTTGATGTGGGTCTTGAGCGTCTGCGCCTGAGTCTGGATCGGTAGCAACGTGCTCCCGCGCCAGATTGGTGCACACTCCGGCTCAGCCTGGATGTCGCGCCAGTTGCCGTTCACATCCCGTAGCCAGCGCGCAGCTTCCTCATGTGGCAGTTGTGTTGCGTGCGGGCTATGCACCAGATTGACTGGCGCACTTCCCCCGTAGGGTGCATGTTGCTGTGCGTCGATGAGGTTATTTGCCTGGCCGATCAACGCTGCCCGCGCGGCTGGTGTGATACCGATTTGCTCCAGCGCTTGGAGTACCGCACCCGGGAGTACCACGTTGTTTTGCGGCATGGCTGCCGCTGCAGCCTGGGGAGGCGCTCCTCCCCCGGGTGGTGGTGGTCCCATAAAGACCACGCTGGCATTGGACCCATCGGCATAGCGCGCCGCAGCGTACGGCACGAAGTTTTCATGCTGACGCGCATGCCCCTGCTGACGTAGCTGATGCGCGTGTTGTTGTAGGCGCCACCACTTGTCTGCCTTTGTGCCTTGGCGTGGCAGTCCCCAGATGTTGAGGCAGTTCTCGAGGTGCTGCAGTTGAAACTGCGGCCCAGTCGAGTCAGGGTTTCCCTGGTTTACCAGCCGGCCCAGGAGGATGACCATGACGATGCGGCCCTGCGCTTCCTGGTCCATGTTGTTGCCGTTTTCATCCCTTGCACCAGCGAGTTCATTGCACAACTGGCGGCTCATGTGGTCGCAGAACACTTGCAGCACGTTAGTAGACACTAGAGCGCTGACGATGTCGTCGACATGTGCACGCGTGCCGGCGTCCTGTGTGTAGTTTGCACACAGTTGCGTGAACTGCTGTTTTGCGTCATCAGGCAGTTCAGCTGCCAAGGTGAAACGGAAGATGTAGGGGAGGACAGGTGCCGCCGCTGCCGCTGCAGGTGACTGGAGCGGGCGCTACGTCCTGTAGCCCCTGCACGTCGTCGGCTGCTGCCGCCATGTCTTGTCTTTTTGTCTAAGGTCGCCAAAAGGGCACTGAGCGCAGTTTTCTAGAAGGTCAAGCCTATGCGCAAAATTTTATCTTTTATGAAGCCCTTTGGATGATATGGACTCCGCTCTAACTACTGTCGTTTTTCCTCACTCAGTTATTTACGCCGGAGTCCATTTGATAGTGTTCTGGGAACCCGCTGGTTCCAGCCTAGGCCACGCGGGCCTATTGAATATTTTGTGATCGCATCACGAATTTGACCCCGCCGGGTCTCACAGTCCACTCACTTGAGTTTCCTGTAGTGCACGCTTGCATAGCTCAGTCTGGCCACTGAGTGAGTGGATCTTTGTTTTTGTGCCACTGCACATAGATCAACTCAGGTACGTAGCTCACCGCTGGGGCACTACGCTGGGGCCGCGCCCTTCACCCTGTGTGCCATCAGCCGTGATAACGCTACTTAAAATAGCGAGGAAGTCACGTTGCACAGGGCCGCGTCGCGCCGCAGCCACACGGTCTGGTCTCACGGGTCACCAAGAATTTCACTTCCGAGCGGTGACCCAGCCAGCGTATCAACGACCACTAAAATGAACGCGATCTTTTCAACGCTGGTAGAATGAACACCCACCGCTCCAGTGGTTAAAAGAGAGTAGGCTTCGCGACATAATCATCCCGGCTAAGATTTTGATCTGCGCCTCAATGTCGCCCGCCGCAGTTTTGGATCGCTCTGCTTCACCCGTTGAAAGAACGACAAAACTCGCGGCCTTATGGGGATCTTCATCCTCTGGGATATCGGTGTCGGTTGCCTCACCGCCGCCATTCATGTCAGGTGGCTCCCGGTCCCATGGAGTATCTGTAGAATCGGGGGCTCAATGAATGATATTGATGAGCAGTATGAGAACAAAAGGGTCTATGTTCACACTAGTACAGCAAAGAAATGACCAAACAGGAGAAGAGGACTTCTCTGAGAGGTATTGAGACTCAAGAATGGATAAAAAGAAAATAAACTGCAGACAGTCTTTTAAGTCAACATTCACTAATACAATGACACTGCAAAGAGTTCTAAAAATAATGGAAAGTCCAAATATCATCCGAGCGGCTTGTACCTTGATCATCCCTGTGCTTCATCTGCCTCGCGGCAGCATAATAAAGACGGATGTGCAACGGGGTCAACGAAAATGCCGACGATAGTAGTGCTACTGTTCCACCCGATCGTAAGGCAGATGGGCCCGCTCGCCACAGCAGTCCACCTCTACGCTCTCGGCGAGAATGTAGTGCACTGACATTTTGAGGCCACCGGAACAGAGAGGGGAACAGAAGCATTTCCTCGATTGCTACCGCTCCGTCGCGCAGCCACGAGATTATGTCATCCTTTTCTTGTCGTATGAATAGTTAGATGACATCGAGGTCTATGTAAAGTAAATAAGGCAAAAGAAATCTGCCTAACGCTAACCTAGTAGATAATCTGCGTAGTATAAAACATTAATCAATGCATGACTTCATTTGATGAATGAAGAAATATCAAGGGAAGAATTTCAGCATGATCGTAAGAGCTATAGAAAACAACATTCTGATTAGGTCGTCCTGACAAAAGAAAACATAATCAAATGGGGTAGCATAACACATATTTATTGAGACAACCGTAACCACGTCAACATCGATTAAAGGAGGCGCAAGGGACCGGGAAGAGGCGTCTTGTACGTAGGGTGAGTGTCCGCTTTGGCTAGGGAAAGGGGGGTGTTTTGGGATCCCTCTCAGTGACTTTCGCTTTGATGAATAATTTTTGGTCTTTGCATTTCTCCTCCCACGACAATTTTTGACCTTCTTTCAACTGTCCTTTTTCGACTCAAGGCAAGCAAGCAAACCCATTTTCGGCTCAGTCTCAACTACAACGAAACACAAGAGGTGCCAGACCTAGTAAACCATGACTCCTCCAATCTTTTGGTCTTTATTGAAACTGGTAGACAGACTACTTCTGAGGCAGTTCATTTTCTCCTATGCCTATCACAACACACGAGAATCTTGCGTGCTTTCATTGATTCTTTGCGTTCTCAAAATCTCGGTTCTTCAATATGGCGTGGCGTCAATCAATCAATTGGCGTCTGCGCGAAAGCGAATCATGGGAATACCACAAGTAAAATACAAACATGTAAAAAGCTATGAGAAAAAGTCGTGTAAGAAAATGCTTTTCATGGTATCTTTAACATTAGATGAATTATATCTTGAGCGAAAATAACTAGGGAAGTTGCTCCTCTGGACCCCACGTGGCAAATATAGTGGGCTAGGAAGTTCCTCCTTACTGCAGCAAGATTTTTCTAGCTTCCTTGACTATCTTGAAAACGAGAAAGAGAGAAGAAAAACACTCAAGCAGCTTGAGAAGCTCAAAGAGTTGCAACGTCGAACGCGAACGAGAATAAAAGTGAGCGCTGTTTTTTGTTGTTGTTGCATTTTTTTAAGATGTGAAAGCCTTTACGCGTGTACAGTAACCCGAGGCCATACCTGGCTCAGCCCGCCAGAGTAGCAAGCCAAGCCACGAACCCGAGAGGGCTCGCCGCTGCCGTTTCCGCCGCGAGCCCGATTCGGCCCCGTCTTGCATGCTTCGGACAAATCAGC